ACATCCAGATCACGTCCTGGACGAGTAGGAGTCGCGATTCCGGGAGGGCGCGGCCGTAGTGTCGTGTTTTGTCTTCCCTGTAGAGGCGGGTCTGTGTAGGCATGACGAACCATACGAGTACTACGCCGATGGCCATGAAGATGATGGAGATGGCGGCGTCCATTAGACTTTGGCACGAGTCAGTCATTTGGTGTGTTACAAGTCTATGGATGACGGGGATGCAAGAAAGAAATCAAATTGGAAGGGTTGGCTTACGAAAAACCCTTGAACTCCGTTAGGGTTGTGATGGAGCCTCCAACAGTGAGAACAAAGACACCGTTGGCAAGGCCGTTGTAGATACCCGTGATCCAGATGATGGGCTCTGTAGCGAGAAGGTACCAAACCCTCGTCAGGAAATACCACCCCCCACGGGGTGGTGGACCGGCATCGAGCTTAGACTGCAGAACCGGACCGGTGGCCTTGCTTCCATCACCGGCCCGGCCTACACTGAGAGAATCGGGAACAAAGGACATGGGAATAGCGCAGGCGGCACTAACAAAGACAGTGATCAAGAAGTACCATTTCAGATCAGCCCCGGCATCCATGAGAGCCGTGGCAACGACACCGCCGAGGGTGGGCCCGACGCTGGCACCGATGACAAAGAGCGCAATAGGCTGGCCAATGTCGTCTCTGTCGAGATATAAGTCGCTGAAGACGGCAGGGACGAGGGAGAGGGAGGTTGACCAAGCGGCTCCACTTAGAAACATGAAGAGAATGAGTGTCGGTAGATTGGGTGCATATGCTGTGCCCTACACTCTCCTGGTTAGCCCCGGGTCCGAATGGCCCTCCTCCATCCATGATACGGTTCAATAGCGTGCGTTTGTGAGTGTGTACTGACTAGATTGAAGGCGGAGTAACCCAGCATGGAAAATATCGTCACTTTCTTGCGACCAAAGACATCCCTACCGTCACGTCATGTCAGCAAGGTGAGAGTCTCGATCAAGGGGATCTGTTTTCCAAATCGTACGAGATGGGGCTCAGCAGCGATACACCGAGCATATTGCCCATAATCTGCATGGACTGGCCCAGCGTGACGATCTGGACGTTGCCCACGCCATACCTCTCCTGCACGACAGGCTGCGCGAAGGAGTAGAGCGTCGATAGCGTCAGAGCAATGGTCTCCCAGGCGCAGTAGGCGCACACGAGGTACCACCCGCCCTTAGAAGACCACTTGTCCGAAGGACGAGCCGTGCTCAGGGTCGTCCTGGCAGTTTTTTCCATTTTGGTGCTGAGAGATTGTGTAAAAAAAGGCTAGGAGTAGAAGAGAGATCAGGAATGGGAGAAAACTCTGTTCACGGTGTGGATCTTCATCTATCTAGTCTTACTCAAAACTCAAATGCAAATCGAGGTATTTTCCACCGAGAACCGGAGTATCAATTCGCAAGTTGAGTCTTGGGGGTTCCATGTCGTCAGCCCCCACACCACAAGGACAACTTGACAAGACTAAAACCACCCGAAATCAACCACCCGACGTACGTGAAATCCAGAATCATCAGCACTTCCGCTGCCACGACCCGGACTACCACACCTGTTTTGCCGCCTCTCGTGTAGCCCACTCGACGGCGGACCATAACGCCTGCACATCCCTCGGTTTACGTGGCACATCGTGGCCACCGTCGTGCACGAGCGATCGCGTCAGCGTTGCTACGCAGAGCCCCTCCATCACCTTCGACATGCTGACCAATAGCGGGTCATCAAGGGCGCCGACGACATGGACGGTAGGTACAGGGACTTTGCAGCCCGGCGAGGCGATGACAGGATGCATGAGGCGCGGGAGATGGTCAATGTCATTGTTTGTGGCTGCCGACGCGGGATGTAGCAGCGCTTCGAGGCCAAGAGGCGTGTCCGGTGCGATGAAGCCGCCGACAATGGACTTCTCCAGAACCTTTCCGAGGGAGCTGAAAAATATAGCGCGCTCGGGGGCCCCGGCGAGGGCGGCGTAGTCATTGTGGGTGGCGCCGCGGGGGAAGCCTGCGAGGACGTTCTCGCGGTCACTAGGGGTAAGGCCAGTGATGAGGTGAGAGCAGAAATCCGGGTCCGGGGAGAAGGCGACAATGGTAGAAAGGAAGATTGCGAAGGAGAAGGCGGGCGGGGTTCCTGGGTTGGCCGCCATGGTTTCGGCCATCTGCAGCAGGTAGGAGAGGGCCAAAGAGCCGCCCTGACTGAAGCCTAAGAGACCATCAAAGGGACCCTCGTCGTCAATGAAGTCTTGGAGGTGGTCGAGGGACGATTGGATGGCGTGGGGGCCAAAGGATTGGTTGAAGCATCGAAAAGGAGGCTGTGCGAACTTGCCAATACCTAAGATTACATCAGCATCGCAAAGAGTCACATGTGGAATCAACGATGTGATTTACCATGGGCTCTTTGACATTCGTACTCGCCATCGAGGAAGACGAATTCGTAGCTCGCGTCGGCCCTGTGGATGAAGGCGTCGAGCTGCGATCGAAGGATGGCTCCGGACGTGCCGTAGCCGTGAAGACAGAGGATTCTCATCGTTGCGGCTGCTCCATTGTGACTACAAGCGTGCCTTTCAGGGCTGCTGATACTGCAAGAGGTGGTGGCGGTATTATCTTGGGTGTTGAGGTGGCTTTGGACGGAGAGGGCAAACGGACGAATCGGTTATTTTGTTTCTCGGCCTGTTATTTCGAAGGAATTAGTCCCTGTAGTCTGCAGGAGCGTTCATCCTCCAATAAGCAGCCAGCTCGTAAGCAATCGCACCTCGTCCCATCCTGGGCTTTCTGCCTGCTTGGCTTCCCGCTTCCGCGCGAGAAAATTTGGTCAATGAATAAGTAAGGTAATAAGAGATACGGAGTAAGGAGGGCTGAAAGGGGGTGGGGTGGGGCGTGTATAACCAAATCAGATGGAGGGGCACTAAGGCAAGGTCCCTTTCTGTCCGCACTTCCCGTTTCGGAACCCGGCATGACTTTGGGCGGCGGCCGCCCGCCTGCCCGTTCGCTGACGGTGTCCACCCGGCGCCGGGTGGGGCTGTGCCTGAGGTAATGTTCCAAACCCAAACGGAAGTGCCGAAGTACCCAGACACAATTTCGAGGCACGCATTCGATTCTAAGATTAGTTTGAAACGCCTGTAATATCGTGGTTCGTATTGCACATTATCTCGAATATTTGCGCGGTTGTCAGTGACAGAATAATAGGCCGGGCAATGTCCCAGCATACGTTCTATGGCCTTCTGCCTTGAGGATCGTTTTATCTTTCTTATCGTACTCATTTCCTACATAATCCCTAGCTATCTTAGGCTGTTCAAGGTACATTATTCACAGAATACAAAGCAGTTGATGAAGAGAAGAGATATTAACAGTAATAACGATAATAATAACGATAACAATAGCAAAGATATAGACAAGCGTATGAGTTGAGTCGATGATTATTACGTCATTCACTTGCCAGGTACGTACCTCCAGCCCCTGATAGCGGAACGGACCGACAGAAGCCGTCAACTAATGGACGGGAATGGAAAGCGCTCCATTCCATTCGCTGGACAGAACCATTCTCACACGTTAGAGCAATCTAACGGCTGAATCTGCCACCTACCGGGCACCTCATGTGCATATCTGTCGGATTATAGCTTTCGCTGTCCCATCATCAATGGTCACGATCACAACTTTCCCTCCCGTGGACGTTTCATCTTAGCCTGTTTCAATCCAGGCACCAACGCACACCAGCCACACGTGGCGGGTAACCTTGATCTCCCGTCCACTTACGGGTAGTTCGGACGGACGATCATGTGGATATTTTCACCAGGCCCACAACAACTCAAATTTGACGTAGGCGAGCAATACGTTTCTAACAAGATTCACCAGGCCGATATGGATGCTTGAGCTTGAGTTGTAAGAGAGGTCGAGGTCAAAAAGTCGGAGTTGCGTATGTGTACAGGCAGTGTGTCTATTCTTTGCATGGGCTCTATGACAGTAAATGTATCACACCGTAATCCTGAATCCTGTTCTGATCCATCGCGCCAAATCTTTCATCAAATTATCACCAGAACCGCGAGGGAAAAAAACATTCAAGGAGATCATATCTTCACAGAAAACGTTCCAGGCTCCTGGTGTCAGCTTCCCACGTGTAAGGCTTGGTCCTTAAGGAGGGCTTCTCTGCTGCCAAGGACCCGTCTCTGGGCTTACTAGTCCAGCCACCGACCAGAAGTTAGGATCGTGCGTCGGCCTTGCCAGTGGTCGGCTTATCATCCCAGCTCTTGGGAGGCGTCTTGGGGAGCTTCATGTAGGCTCCCAGAAGGGGCAAGAACACGGCGACGGCGGCGCCAGCGATGCTCATGGCCCACGCATTGTGCAGGCCGCGCATGTACGCCCTCAGCACGCCGGTCAGGGCGTCACCAGACAAGACGTTCTTCAAGTCATACGCGCCAATGCTGAGGACCTCGGCCGGAGAGACAATCGGCGCCAGCTCGGGCAAGCTGCTGATGAGGCCGTTGTTGAAGATGGCTTGCGCCATGCCGATACCAAAGGTGCCTCCGATGAACTGGAAGAAGAGCACGTCTGACATGGCCATGCTGTTGTCTTGCTTTGGGGTGATGGCGTTGGCGATGATGACGGGAGGCTGCATCGCCAGACCCGTACCGACGCCGGCCACAAACTGGAAGCCGATCCATTGCGCGCTGGTGGAGTCGATGTCCAGCATGTAAATGAGGCCGGCTCCGATAGCGGCGAGCGATGCGCCGGTCATTAGCCATGGCTGGTACCACCCGACCAGCACGATACCAGGGGCGGAGAAGAGACTGAACAGCGCTGTTGAAGGCGATGTGATCAGCTTCTTGTCATCTACGGTGATGCGCACTTCGACTTACTCATGGGAAGAATGGTTGGCAGCAAGCGAATGCCACTTTGCAAGGGGGAAACTCCGTTGACGGCCTGGAAGTAGATTGGAAGATTGTAGGCCAAGGGGAAGAAGGAGAAGTTGATCCTGAGCACAGATTAGACACATCCTGCAATAGGAATCCGAAAGAAACAGAGTCTTACATGGAAACGAAGACTGCGCAGGCCGCGATAGTCCTCCGTTTCATGAGACGGCCAACAAGCAGGGCACGGTCACCCTGATACCATTCGAGAACGATAAAGAGTATGACGAGGACAAAGAACGCGACAAGCAGACCGATAACGGTACCCGAATTCCAGGCCTTGCTAACGCCGCCATATTCAATGGCGAGGATGAAGCATGTCAGCCCGCCGAGAACAACAGCGACACCCGGCAGGTCTAGAGTGTAGATGAAGTCCTTCCAACCGATTGGCTCGATCTTGTGGTGAGCAGGAGGCTTGTAGAAGAAAGCGAGGAAAAGAATAGAGGGTGCGCCGACAATGAGGTTGATATAAAAGCTGAAACGTCAGATCAGTACAGGTGCGCCCTAACGTCACGGTAGTACGGAGCTGTTACGCTGTAGACACTCACCACCAACGCCAAGACAGACGGTCCGTAAACGCACCACCCAGAAGGGGACCAACAACACTAGCAACACTGAAGATACCGCTAAGAAGGCCTAGGAAGGCAGGGACAAGCTTCTGGACAACAGAGACGGAGACAATTAGGTATACTCCGCTAGTCATGCCAGCACCTCCAAACCCTTGGATGGCGCGACCGACGATGAGGGTAGTGCTATTCTGAGCCACACCTGTGATGTGAAGGCCAAGTCAGCCACTGAACAAGGAATTGACTGTTGGATAATTGGTATGATGCTAGTCTACTCACCACAGATCAAGCTTCCAAGCTCGAAGACGACCACGGCGGACAAAAAGACCCATTTGATGCTGGCGTGCTTGAAGGCCTTGCCCCAGAGAGAGACGAAGCCGGCGAGGGTGAGGAGGAAACCGGAGCCATACCATCCGACTTGGTCAAGACTTTGGAATTCGCGAGTGATTTTGGGAATGGCGGTGGCGATGATACTCTACGATGGGGTGTGGTGTTAGTAAGGCAGAGTAATCACGAACGCCACGGAGAGGAGTAATAGAGGGAAAAGACAAGCGGCAGACACACCATGTCCAAGGCGACGAGAAATTGGCATAAGAGGAGAGAAGTCATGAGAATGAAGAGCTTCAATCCGGTAGCGTAGTCGCCCTCTTCCGCCTTGTCGTCATCGCCATCGGCGCTCCCAGTTCCCTTCTCGCTATCGACCGGTGCTGTTAGACCAGGGGCTGCATCGTGACTGTGGCCGAGGGTTTCTTCGGTCTTGCTCTCGTAAGAGCCCGTCAGCTCGACGCTAGGTTGTAAGCGCGGCTGGTTCTCTGGTGTCGCAGTAGCCATTACGACGGTTTTCTGTTGCTGTTACTCCGGTAACTGGTGTGATGTTGTCTGCTGCGATGGTGGGCGTGAGGTCTTGTCATTCAATGGCGACTAACAGAAAAGTCATGTAGTTGTTGTTCGTTACACCTCCTCGCAGAACACCGTTTTATTTGTGCAATGAAATGCCGTGAGATTTTGAGTGAGAAACCCCAAGAGATGGAGATGAGAGGTGAGTTCTTAGTTTTTGAACGAGAAAAGAAGACGTTTCGACGTGCCCGTAACTTGCACCTGCCTTGTATCTGGCCATTGCGAAATTGCTGAATATTCCAAAAGGTACGTACCTCGTGATAGAATGAAGAGTGAATCGGATTGTTTGCTTGCCGACTTGCCCAGATTTGTAATGTGGACCAGAGCGGTGCAAAATTAGGCCGGCTCTCAAATGGGCGGTACAGCGTGCCCTGCATTCGAATGATGAGGGTGCGGCGCAAACGCATTCTTGTCATTGGATCATTGGAAAACACCACACCTCATCACATCTCACGCCCCCCCAGTCGGGAATAATTGTCCCACCCTTACCTAAGTCATTCCAGACCCGTTTGAGACTTTTGTGTACCCATTCCTCCGCCATCTGTAAGCCGTCAATGGCAGTCGACAAGCTGTCAAACGACGAGTGCTGGTATGGCCAACGACCAATCTGGGACGGGGCTTGCTATCATTGCCCATTGCCCAATCCCAGCATCTCAATTGGACGCTATTCTGGCTGATATTCTGCATACCTTGAACAGATTCGCGAGTACTCGAATCATGTGGACAATCTTTTTCCTTTGTTTCTGTCTTTTCTTTTCGTGCCTCTTCTCGACTAGAATCTCCCCTGTTCTGTGGTCCACTTCAGGAAGGTTCCAATCAGGTTTCATCTTACCAAAGTGGCATCATTCTGGAGAAAAGGACGGGATAAAAAAGAGGAAGGAAGGCACAGCCAAGTGGGTTCGGGTCAATACCTTCCAACCACACATGCTGATCGCCACCACGTACTGACATCGGTGGGCGCTCATCCTCTGTCACACGCATCAGGAGGTGCCTCTTGGATGGAAACGCCAAAGTTGAAACTCCGTCTCTGCGGTGTAAAGCAGTGAGGACAAGCCTCTCGTTTACCCGTTTGGGTCTGAATGCCTTCAAGGACCCCAAAGTAGGTAGGCACTCCAGCTACCTACCTTACATCTTCATTCATGGGCCGTGGGGGCCGGTGGAAGTACCTTGGTGTACGTACCCCAGGAAACTCCCCGGGAAAGGAAGTGGAGGGAATGCGGTACCTAAACACGTGCTTACTGTGCAGGAAAGATGTGTACTTAGGTAGGTACCGTGCCTTGGTGACAATCGTGGACGGCAATGGAAGTCCACTCGCCAAGCGGCCAATCGGAGACCCGCTGAGCCTGAAGGAGGAACGGCGCGCTACCTAAGGTACCTTAGGACAACGGCTGGCTGCTGCCTGCATCCATCCCGAGGCCACCCTGGTTCCGCCTACCTTATCCGTTGTCTTGCGTGCTTGCCAGGATGGAATATTTTAGTGACTTTTGTTAGCTTTGCGATGGAAGGTCTGAATCACAATTGTGCCATCGAGGCTTCCCATCCCGCACACCTTACGCAGCCTTGGACGTTCTCGATACGTTACCTGACCGGATGAGATGCCGCTCACTCGATGACACCCTCTGTCCGAACTTGAGCACTTCGCAAGCATTTATCTGGGAGTTTTCTTGATATTACCTCCCGGTCCTTTGGGAATGCCAATTGGCCGAGTCACCCTCTTTCATCCGTCTTCCTCTTCTATGAATGTTACTCAATTCGACTCCCTCATGATCATATGACATATCGTCCCCGATGGCACACAGCAGCATCTTTGACTACAGCTCCGAGGTGACCAAGATACCGATCTATCATCTTTTATCTCGGAGAGGTCTTACAGACTTTGTCGCTGACTTCTTGCTCCAAACAACCAGGGGTCCCCTGGGCCGCAATCACAAGCCTCAATATCATCGTCGTACGAGTCTAGCGACTGGCATGAGTACGAACAGGACCAAGCACAAGCAATCGCGTCTACATCGGCATCGGCGTCGACGTCGACGTTCAAGTGCAGTTGTGCCCGAAAGGCATCAAGGCTCCTCAAGAAAATCCCAAAGGAGGGTATCGTCTCGTTCGATGCCGTCATGCAGCTTCACCACTCCGTCGTCGAACAGTGGCGCCAGACCACACGCTGCCGTCATTGCAACAATGGCAATATCAACAATGCCAACGTCACCTGTGCCTTGACCACAGCCTCCGAGAAGCTCCTATCTCTTTTCGAGGCCACCACCCACGCCTACACAGCCACCGACTACTTCTCACAGACATCGCCGGATCGTAAGTCCAGCGTCTACTGTCGATGATTCTATTTTCCTCTGTCTATACTTTCATCTCTATCGCCCCACAGCCTCGGCATCGGCCTCTATAACAAACTGACGAACGGCGTGGCAGGCCTCGGAAGCGTCCATCTCTTTTCACCTAAGCTTCCCACCACCACTGTCACTTGTACCCGGACGCAGATGACCCTCGGAGGCTTTCTTCTGCAGGACGACGAGGCAAATATTCTCGCCGCCCAGATTATCTACAAGAGTCTAGTGACCCACCACAGTTTGCTCCAAGACTTCCAGTCTACGCAGGCTCTCAACGACAGCGACCAGTCCTTCATTAACGATGGAGGAGGCCTACAGCGTATCATTGACAGGCTTTTGAGACTTCTCGGCCGCTTGCAATGGGAACAGGACACCATAGAACGCTGAGGTCGGGGAACGGCAGCCGTCAGGTGTCTTTCAAACCTGTTCACCTTAGAATGGATACATCTATGTCCCGGAAACCCGTGTGCCTGACTTTCATAAAAGCCATCAGATAAGCCGTCTCTAGCTCCAGCAAGAAATGCAATGAGCGAATGTACATTACAAAGCACATCCTTTCCAGCTCCATGACTGCGCAGAGTAATTTCTCTGTCATGTTTGCAATTAGATTTCGGTAGATATATGCCCCTCTTTGCTCGATCCATCTTCCAGTCAGTCGCCATGTGCTCTTCCAACGCTCTCAGCATTTTAATCTGGGCCGAAATCTCAAGTTCAAAGGCTGTTTCTCCCAGACGCTCCACACGTGCTTATCAGTGTACCATTGCTCCTGGCCCTTGACCAACTCAAAATCCAGCCGGTAAAGGATTTTGCAGATCATCAGCCGCATCTCTGAGTACGCCAGATTCTTCCCGGCGCAGTCTCGGGGTCCGTAACTGAAGGGCTTGAAAGCCGCCTTGTTGTCGTTTTCGAACCTCGGATCGTACAGAGGATGCGTCTTGGAGAGCCAGCGCTGCGGACACCAGCTCTCTGCGTCAATGAAGTTACCCTTGTTTCGCATAGTCGCCACTTGGTTCACATGGAGCAGCGTCTAGCGATGATTCATGTCAGTCTCGTCATAGGTGTAGAGGCAATGGTACAGAGCGACTAGGAGGAACTCACACCGCGAGGGACCCATTTGCCCTCAAACATGGCTCCAGGAGACTGACGAGGTGGCGTCTCGACGACAGTGGGGAAACAACGCAATGTCTCATCTATACATGCCCGTAGGTATGGTAGATGCTGTGTGTTGACTAGGTTGATGTCAGATTCGGTCTTGTATGCAGACCGAACCTCTTCAATCAAGGGTTCCAATGCCGCTGATGACATGCCGGCAAAGAAGAAAAAGCCGCTTACAGCCGACGCTGTCGTCTCGCTGCCGGCACCAATCAGCAACCCGCTGTTCATCATGATTTCCTGCTCCGAGAAGCCCGGCTTTCCGTCGCGCGTCTCCCGCATCATATACGTCATGAAATCGCGCCGGCCGTCCTTGGGCTCGGCGCCCATAGCCATTCGCGCTTTCACCTTCGAGTCGCCTAGCTTCATATTGTCCATCATGGTCGAGATGGCGGTCCAGATCTCACGCCAGCCCACAAATACGAGGAAGAACGGTGTGAGGTGCGGCTTCGCCAGGATCATTCGGCTGTACGCAAAGCCACGGATGGCCCTGAAGAATCCCGAAACATATGGGTGAAAGCTGCTGTCGTCGAGGTTGTGGAATGATTCGGCGAAGGTCAGATCTCCAATGACATCAAACGTGGTGTAGTTGAGCCAGGTCGCAATATCCACGGCACCCGACGCTCGCTCAAGGTGGTCGACTAGCTTCTCGATGTAACGACCGATGATTCCCTCCTGCTCCTTGAGCGCAGCGTCACTGAAGGCGTGGTTCAGCTGGCGCCGCATACGGCGATGCTCGTCCCGAGGCGCAGCAACGATTGTCTTGTAGTCGCCTGGGAACAGCTGGTTCGGCACTTTGGCGAACTCATCCATGCCGTGCACTGTGGCGTTGAGGGAGAATACCTGTGTCCAGGCGATACTGCCGTCCACCATCAGGCGGTTCGGCCCGAGGCGCACAATGTTGCCGTACTTCCGTTGAAGACCTGGAGCCTCACGAGTATAGGTGCCCCTGACGTTGGCCCGCCACAGCCAGAAGAGATCCGACGCTCCCCACCACTTGGGGCCTGGATACTTGGAAAGGGGATGGAACCATAGCCGATAGATGGTCAAAACAGCCCGGTGTATGGCGATCTACATGAGTAAGGGTGTCAGCAAGGCCACACCACCATAAATGCAATTGCGCCACACCAACGATAAGGCAAAAGAACTTTGGTATTCATCCACCCACCAGAAATGTCAACACCCCCAACACAAATTGAATTTGGCCCGTCGGCGTGTATTGGAGTGGAGCGAGAAGGCTCGCCCATGTCTTGGAAAGTATCATTGTTTACCGTCGATAAGGGATCACAATCACGGAGGCTGTAAGCATAACCACACCAACGGCAGAAACGGCAGTGGCCGACTGGTTGCCACCCCTTGAACATTGGTCTCAGGATTTTATACGGACTGTTCCCCTTTTGAACCCTTCATTCGAACAAGGTGCGGAACCGGCGCCACTCCCGTGTCGTGCATGATCCTTCCAGTCATGTCGTCAGATTCCCGTCTCCCTTTGGGGGATTTCAAAGGTGAGACACTGCATTTGTACAATTCATCCGAAGCCGACGGCTAAATTAATGTGATGTGCAGCTTATCAAATGTCGCTTGTACCTATCTGTCGACCGTACATGCATGTCGTACTTAAGGCCAATGATAAAAGACCCGACACATGCTTACCACAATGTAACATCGGCTGCTTTGGTTGGATTTGTAACTCGGCATAATCCATCAAGATGCCAATACATTGGAAACAATTTCTCAAGTTCAGATTCTTGTTGTAAGCTTTTAAGCGAGCTCTGTAGCTTCTGGGACGGATAGACGTAATGCAGGCAACAAAGGTGACTTCCACTTGAGTCACGTCGCACCGATTCCCGATTGCCCATGATGGAGATCGTATTGGACCTGCTTGCTCAAGCCCGCGGCAACACTTATGTGACCTTCACTGTGGCTGTATTGTCTCTGGTTGTCTTCTTCTACTTCAACTACAGCACTCAGCCGTTCCGAGGTATTCCCTATGTCGGGGGTCCAAAGTGGGACATTCTGAATATCAAGGCACAATATCGTTTCGTGACGGACTGTAAGAATCTCATCAAAGAGGGTCTTCAGAAGGTGAGAGATGGTTCATTTCACACCGAAGTCCTTGGAAAGAGAGTTTTATGACTAAAATCGTCGCGCTCATGTAGTACAATGGACCTTTCCAGGTCATTGGCTACGTGCCCATCACCGTCTTGCCCCCAAGATATGTCCCGCTTGTCAAGGACCACCCGAACCTGGATTTCGGAAAGTCTGCCGAGAGAGTATGTTCGAGTTTCTTACGTTGTTTCAATTCGATTCTCACTCTCTGGATTCACATTTCATGATAGGAATGATGATTTCTCAGGATCTAACCAACAAACATAGAGGCTATTTGGGCAATACCCAGGTCTGGACTGGGCGCACAAGATCAATGAGGACCGCATCTTCCAGGAATCTCTGAGGATTAATATGACTCAATATCTCAGTGAGTCTTGTCCACGATGCCAGCTTTTCTCTATTATTAGTCATTAACACCTAGCGCTTTTTCCAAATCCTAGGCGAGGCCACACCACTTTTAGCAGAAGAAGCACATGAAATCCTCAGCGAGTTCTTTCCACAGACGACCGGTAAGCTCGATCTGTTTCTCTCTATTCCTTGACTGTGGCTAAACCCCTCACCAGAATGGACCTCATACACCTTTGGCAAAGACGCCGCAGAAATGGGCGTGCGCCTCTCAACCCTCGTTTTCCTCGGCAAGAGATTCACCAAAAACAAGGAGTGGCTCTACATCTGCACGCAATACCCGCAAGGCATCTTCGGCGCCATCGGCGGGCTACTCTCCACGCCCAAATTCCTCCGACCCGTTCTCTACCGCTTCCTGCCCCAGATCATCGCCCTCAAGAAGTACGGCGAGGTCGCCAGGACGCTCATCCTCCCCGAGATTGAGGAGCGCCGGCGGCTGCGTGATGCCGGGGCTGATATCAAGTTCAATGACGCACTGGAGTGGTATTACAAGAACTCGTCCAAGCGCGGTAAGGAGGAGGACTTTGATGCCGTGAGCGCCATGATCTCGCTTGCGTTTGCGTCCACGCATACGACGGTCGATTTGCTGTGTAATGTTCTGTATGACCTGGCGGCTCATCCTGAGTGCATCGGTCCGATGAGGGAGGAGATTGATAAGGTTCTCGCTGAGGACGGGGGCTGGAAGAAGACGACGTTGTATAAGATGAGACTGATGGATAGTTTCTTGAAGGAGACGCAACGGATGAACCCCGTTCAGCTGAGTACGAAGTCCTCCAAATTGCAGCACCAAGAATCCGCCAGAAAAAAAGCCTCGATTCACTAACACACAATCCTACACAGCCGCAATGAACCGCTACGTCAAACAAACAACCATCCTCTCAGACGGCACCCGCCTACCCAAGGGCTCGCTTCTCGCCATCTCGCTCGAGGGGCTCCGCGACGCCTCGCAATTTGCGGACCCGGATGTCTTTGACGGCTTCCGCTTCGCGCGCAAGAGGCAGGAGCCAGGCCAGGAGAACCAGTGGCAGTTCACGTCGACGCGCAACGAATTTCCCTCTTTCGGGCACGGGCAGTGGTCCTGTCCCGGTAGGTTCCTGGTCGCCAACGAGCTCAAGATCTTTTTGGCGGAGCTGCTGTTGCGGTATGATATCGGGTACCCGGCGGGTGTGACGCGGCCGCCGTGTACGTGGTTTGCTACGGAGAGTCAGGTGAATATGGATACGCCGCTGGTGTTTAGGTTGAGGGAGAAGGTGTGATCACTATGGGGGGATTTGATGGGATCAAGATTTTGGTTGCCTCCCATACGCCCCTTTTGGGTACGGTCGCATGTTTAGTGAGACCAATGACTCCAATATCTTATTTTATTTTGGTCTTATTTGTGGAGTATTGTGTTGCTGGACGGAATTCCACGTAAAAATGAAGCATGGAAATAGAAATGAACAAAGTGATGGCAGGAAGTTGTGTAATCAAACGCCACATTATTGCAATAATCCTTGTTGCAGTGTTCAGATCATTCTTCATATAAATGCGTGGAAAAAACGGCCGCTGCTAGGTGAACTTCCATTCCTAGCTCCTGGTTCTGTTATATTGATACTAATCTTATGTGAGCTGATAAAATCTGTAACATCCCAACAAGTGAGCGCAGCATTTGTAATCCTGATAAATAGACGAGTGTTCAGAGCGAATATTCTCGGTGAGTCCAGTGAAGCAGTAAGAAGTTTCAATTGTTATCGGATTTCGTGATATCATCTTGTCAACATGATCCTCGGCGAGTTAGGGGTGATGCGAGCTTGCCGTCGATCAAAAGAACCACATGAACCACTTAGTAACCTTATAGGAGTTTCTGAGCTTTCAAGAAGCCTTTTGAGCCTTTCGACGTGCCACTAGCTTTGCTTTCCATACTTGCGCTATCCACCACAAATCAGCTCTAGCCGTCGGCCCTCGTCACCCACCCCCAGACCTGAGTCGCTTCGACTAAAAATCATCGAAAAAAACATACAACACCAGGTATTCGCTGATCGTCACCGACTCAACTACTAATCCGGCCCTCATTGGCTTATCTATGGGAGAGCGGACGGGATCCCGAGTTTTCCAATGGGTATGGTCGTATGTGTTTATGTTAGGTTGCAAGGACGCTTCTAGAGGTGCAGCAAGAGGAACGCTACCTAAGGTTTGGAACCGCGCCTTGTGGGCTGCAGCGAGTCTGCTTGTACTGCATCGACATTAGGAGATGTCTCACGAGGGCATAAACCCGTTCTCAAGGATTTATGATGGTCGACCCATATGTGCTTCCCTTCTTGCTCATATTCACTTACTCCTTGTCTTCTCCCGCTTTCTCACAAGCTCTATGACCGACCAGTATGAGGACTAGCCAGATATGTAGGCTCTGATGGCAATAGACTGCAGAGTTATATCAGATTCTAAAATTGTCACTTCAGAGGGAGATAGGGTCATGATTTTTTGACGCTATGGGGCGTTTCAGTGAATGATCTGCTTTAGCGGCATGATCTTGACTACTTGGGAGACGTTGGCGGCATCGTCAGTGACGTCTCCCCACATTGGAATGCCAAGGTCAGTGGCCTAAACCCGAACCAGACGAGATATTAGTGGCATTGAGATCAGTGTATTGCTACTTATCAAACTACATGGTTTTATCGATTTTATGTCCATCAGAATGGAAGAGGGTCTTTGAGCACGAGTAATTTGTGCGACAAACAATAGAAATAGCACCACGTCGTTGGATGATAGATGCTTGCGTCGAAAACACCAACCAAGCCACAGCAGTGATGTCAGTCGTCCAAATCTATAACATTCGTCAGTACTTCATCCGACATCAGTAAGCCCACAATCATTTCAAAAACAAATCTAACTACAAACTATCTCATAACGAAACTAAGAACTAAGTAAACTGATATTACATCTCATGTAGGTATCTTGATTAACAAGGTTTTCAATGATTACTCTTATTTCAACATGACTAATTTTGTTTTGAGGTATTCAGTCGCGTAGTCTCATTATAAATACGCTACATAGTTGGTGCAGAGAAGGTTTGGGTTATCAGAGATTATTAGGGGAGATTATGTTATCATTATTATCCACCAAGTAGCTTATGGAGCAGAGTTGCGGTTTTAGCAAACTGCGAGGTTGTGAAGAAGAAAGACTGCTGACGATGCTAGCTGGCCTGATGAGTGTCTCTAGGCGATCTTTCTCCAGGCTTGCTGCGGCCGCTGCACAGCGCCCAGTATTCTCGTTTCGACTCGGCTGAGCTGAAGAGACGGTGGCGTTCAGTACACTTGATCCAGTCTTTATCCTTGCAAATAAAGCTATAGTTACTGGAAGTTTCCGGCCGTGGCTAGCTTTTGATAACTCGCTACACCTGTGATGTGGCTGCAGCCTGCAGGTAAGCAGCCACGCAGCCTCAAATTGGCCCAGGACATTCCAATGTTGAACAACGATATTTGATTGGCTCAGCATGCTAACTCCTTGTATGTGTGAAACTAGCCAAAATATCAAAACTCTAGCGATGCCAAGATTCGGCGCAGTGTAATCTACACATTCGGCGTCAGCTGCAACAGCCCCCACTGCGTTGGGTGGCTGAAGATATGCTCTCCCTTAGGCGGCACAACACTGTAAGACTCCTCGTGTGGTCAACTCCGCTCCCAGCCCCTCATCCAGTGACAGCCTCCTGACATCTAATAGGCTTCGAGCCGTGTTGTAAAGGACCCAGTACCGCGATGGAGTATTGGGAGGAGACAGGGCTGGTCCTAAGGCCCTAAGGCTACGTGCAAATCACAAGCGGCAGATGCATTACCGGTAGACAGCCAGGAAGAGGAACTGGTAGTACGGAGCAGGGATCTTGGCTCGCATTTCTCAACCCACGGAACAACATGATGTCCATTGATGACTGCTGGCGTACAGAAATAGACCAACGAAAAGCAAGACATGGCTTTGTCACCTCAACTGTGCCACCTCTTGTACCACCGTTACTTAAGCCTTTTCTCAAGTACTTTAAGTACTCCCTTGCGCATAGCTGAAAGCCATTTGTTCCTATCATCCTATTACTACATACCTTAGGCTATTAAGTTGGCTTCTCCTTCCAATCTACGGTTCACTCGCAGCTGACGAGTGCGGTAAAACATGAGCTTCCTTCAGCCATGGACTGCAGGGCCAAACAAGAACTACACCAACAATTTCGCATATTCCATTGGCACCAAGGTACGGTTTGCTTGGTCCATTGACTTCAGCAACCCGGAACTGCAGCTTTGGCAGAATAACCATCCAGGAGATAGACAAGGAGGACCTAATGCCATCGTTGAAGGTTAGCAATGTGCCGAGACTAAGCTTCTTCTCCCTGATATTAACCGAAGATTTAGCGTCAATAGAGAATTCGGTGTATACATGGATCGTGTCGTACGAAGGACTCAATCCATCCTTTAATCACGTCTATTACTTTCAACTCCAGCAAGCAGAGAATGTGGCTGTTTCCCACTACTTCAATATTACCGACAAAGCAGATGGCAGTCCGACCTCAGCGATAAGCCAAGCGACTAGGTCCTCAACGATCGCAAACGGAGTACCGTCTTCATCCCGAACAGAAACCCAGCCTGGAGTGACAGCGACTATCACGGACCATACGACGGCTGATCGGAGGCCCCTTACAAGTGGAGCAATTGTAGGCATCGCTGTTGCTTGTGTGGTGCTCATAACAATTGCCGGTGGACTGTGGTGGTGGGGGAGGCGGCGGCGGAGACAACGGAACAGTGGAGAGGGTCATACGAATGTCGAGAAGATTTCGAGCAATCCGAGTGTGCAGCACAACAAGCAATACCTCGGCTTGAACACTTCATCGGAGGCCGACGGTCATCAGATTCATGAAGCTCCCGGGATGGAACGGCAAGTCAACATGTACGAACTTGATGGTGGCCCATCGAGAATTTAGTGTTATTTGAACAGAATAACAGGATCCCGCGTGTTCCTACTTTGTACGGTTTTGTTTCCCCTCTTTGCTTTTGAGGACTAGTCCAGAAACTTGGATACCACGAGGAGGCCACAAGCGCCCACAGCTCGCGTTGGTGTTCAGGTGATAGAAGCTAGGAGCATTCATATTTGAAACATGCAAATGGCCGCTTTCAGGATAGATCAACCGAGTTTTAACATGAGTAGCCGGAGGGCGAACTGAATATTAGGTGCATTTCGGTTGCCTCATCCAACTCAGCACCCGTTAAGCTATGTCTCCAAATGGACCTATCATGACCTGCTCCGAATTGATACGTTGTCTGTTCTTAGGCATCTTCCCTCCTGCCTCATTCAACTGGCCAGGATGAAAGACAGCGAATGTTACCATGACAGAGAACATCAAAAAAGAGTCAAAAATGTACATCATGGCTTCATGCTGATTGACGAACCCGTACCAGCCCTCCGCGAATTCCACTGCCCTCACAAGGTTTCGCACCCAGATAGCCACCACCGAGATGATCAGGGTCCAAACATAACGTCTCCAATGTTGTGAGTAAATCGTTTCCCTCTGCGTAGCCCGCTGAAAGCGCATGACGAGAGCAAAATAGATGACCAAAACGCAGAGCTGGAAAAGTAAACCACCCAAGACAACATGGCCTCCAATTTCCATGATCTTTGGGTTCGCAATTACTTGTACAAGTGAACCGCCGATTTGTGTGCAGAAGGCGATGATATCCGTGAGAATAAAGATACTGGTAGGGCTGCACTTCCGCCTTTGATGGCCTAGCAAGGTCTCTTTGAGTCTTCCGAGATTGACGTATACGGTTGCGGAGATGAAGACAGGCGCAACTAGAATGAGCATGAGCTGCAACATGAATGGCTTGGGAGATAAAGGCGCTGAGCCTGCCCAGGCGCGCCCCAAGTGGCCAAATGTGTCACCTATTGAAGTCATGTGGTGTCAGATTCCTGAGTAGTCTCGTCGATGCTACAAACTTGAAAGGAGTATTAAGACCAAGAAGGCAAATGTTTTGACACTTACAGATTCCCCCGAGTACCATCGGCATGAAGTATTTCGTCTTATATTTACGGACCAACCAAACATGATAGACTGAGATACCTGCAAAAAGAAACAAGAAAATGACACCTGCGGCTTTTGAAGGCGTGTACGGGTAGAAGAGGACTTTTCCATCCTCGAAATGAACGAGACCCATTCTAGCTAGACCTTGAGATTGGGGGCCAAGGAGGTCTTTGATCTATGGTGGAAATGTTTCGAGACAAATGAAGACTTTTCCAGATTCGGAGTTACGGAAACAAATCGACGCTATAAAGAGTGTGAGAAAAAATTGTAGTCAAAGTAGTTTTTAGTGATATTGCTCGTTATGGTAGACAAGTCGCAGTATATAAGCAGCAAGCCAGAACGGTAGGTCCGTACTCAAACACAGGCGCGCCTCAATGGGAGCGAGCCAATCGCTGTATTTTCGTATCCTCGTGTCCTGATACGGCCCCACCCGGCTTCGCCGCTCTCATATTCCCACTTGTAGTTTCACTTCGACGGAGTGTTATGATTATATGTACAGCAAAATTTAATTAACATTGTTAAGGATTAGCGCTTATGTCTCTAAAGATGCTTGAAGTATTCCAAGTACTGGCGAATTCAGGAGCCAGCTGCCGAACCTCCCTCTATACGGACTTCAGCCAAGGTACGCGAGACAAAAAATGTGCCGATGCCAACCCATGTCGGCTTACCTAACACGATGAGTGCTCAATGGTGTTAGCACATTAAGAAGGTGTCTGGCTCTTTTTCCTCTGTTTAGAAAGAAATACTAATGCCTTTCTCAATGTTGTGCTTGGATGAACTACCTGAACTTAGATAAGGAGGAACAATATGGAATATTGAGAACTGATTGAGAGCTGATTCGTCATTACGATCGGTGGCGATGTACTGGCGCCGGTCTTGACAGGAAAGTAATTTTTTATCTCTTTTGAAATCACCTTGAAGTACCAAGAGATTACTACGTACTAGGTGCCAAATTCATGGTGATCAATCTCCATAAGGGATGTTTACCAGTCCCTAGGCTGAGCTCATGTCTCATTGCCAGAACGGACGTAGATTATCCCAATACATTCCATCTACTATGTCAGGCAGTGAAATTTGGCAGTTTTCTTCCAGCTCTGAGTCTTGATAGTCTTCAGGCTTTGTCTTTCTTGGCGACATCTCGTTGTGCCACTTTTGTGATCGGCGCCGAGCTCTGGCCTGCCATGGATGGTCCCAGTAATCCTCGTCCTTTTGTATAGTTTCGAAGCATTCGTCCAAAGCCTGGTCCCCGGTTGGGAAATGTGGTTTTGCATTTGGCGAAGGCGAGGGATAGAATCCAGTATCATCCAAAAATACCCATGCCCTTTGTTCGTACATTGTAGTGAGCGTATCATAATTTGGAATAATCCGGGAGTGAAGCATCTGGTACATACCTGGGCCATCCTCAGAATTCTTCTTCACTTCACCCTCTTCCACTGCATTCCCTTCTGCTTCAGATGCTTTCACTTCACGACGAGATTCAAAGCTTCGTCTGAGATAGTGGAGGCCCCCCACCTAAGGTCATTCGTTCGACGAAAATCCTGAACCACCTCTTGAGGCGGTCCCGTTCAGGTTGTCCAGCTCTTGCGGATCGAAGAAGGATGGTGACGAGGTCGAAGTCATAACGCGATAACGCTGGTGCAAGATAACGTCCGCAGCCCATATCGTAGGCATAGGCCCCAGGGTCGACGCATAGGCTATCTGGGTATAGCAAACCGGGGGTTTGAGAGGACCCAGAACCTAGGACAACTTCTGGTAGCCAGGAACTGCTGCACTGGGCAAATATGGCCCCGTAAAGAGATTTCAGATACTCGCTAACACACAGAATTGCCTCTAGGTCCCATTGTTGAAAATTTCGACCGCTGTATCGATACAGTGCCTCTTTGCAGAGTTGTTGGACATTGCTATCCATCAAAGAATTGAGCTGGTACCGTAGGAAGGCTCGCAGTAGTCGCTTTCTTTCTTGACCTGTAAGATTGACGGCGTTGAATCTAGAACAGACTGCCCGACCTTTGAATCTCAACTTAGGTTCGATTCGAGACGGGAGACACAGATACTCCCGCGGGGGGAAGACCGCAGTGGCTTTCGTGAGATAGTCTTGAATGAAAAACATTAGTCCTTGATGGAGATTACTGATTTTGTTGATTAAGGTCTGGTTTTGGTTTTTTAGAGGCGATAGAACGGGTTGGTGAATTGTTGCGTTGCCCAAGAGAGGCAGGGCTGGCGGGCTAGCGCTTCAAAGTCAGCAGCAGACCGTGAAGAAAAGAGGACAATTGCCATGGCGTCTTGTAACATGCCATCATCAAATTCGGAGGCCAGTAGCTTCTTAGTTATATATCTCTCTTTGACGCAGTAAATTGCCCAAGCATGATAGGTGAGGCTTGGATCAGTTGCGAAGTTGTACCGGGGCATTGGGTTGATATAAGTACCTTCACACGGAGCTCGGCCGGTAGCTTGTTGAAAGGATCCATTTTGATAAGCTCTCTGTATTCTTGATATTTTTGACTATATTCGATATTCGATGGGATGTTTCGGTAGTGGGTTTCGCTTGATTGACGGAACCGTGTTCAACGTGGAACTGGCTTGATTGTTGCATGATCATAAGTACTGAAGGCGTGGAGAGAGAGAACGGGGCTGACGCTCAATATAATACCTGAAGCCTGAACTTCGGAGAAAGCTACCGCTCAAAGCCTTTTCCGATTGAAAATGAATCAAAATAAAAAGTAACAGTTGCAAACTTTACCCGATTTTGGATGGCTGACAATGCTGTTTAAGAGCAATTGAGGGACAAGATTCAATGCGATAAATAAACTAAACCATGCGAAAAAGACAGGGCATCGACTCTGACCACGACAGTCTGGTCGAGCATAAAGTCTTCGCCCAGTCCGTAAACACCGCAGCAGACGCGAGGCTGTGTCCACCCCAAAGCTTCGACCAGGTTGACTTCTGGAACCAAGGCGACATCTAATCAGGCGATCACGATGATGGTCTGCAGTACAGTCACGGTAATATTCAATCGTTAAGTTCAATACTGTTATCCCCAAGGTATCTATACTCTCATTGACACCAACTGTGCGTTTAGTCAATGAAGGAGAGGCAGTCACTCCACCGGAGATCCCACCGGTTAGCCCACCGGAGATTCGTATTTTGCCGTCTAGGCGCGAGGGGGGTCCGCGACGGCAACGTACTTGATCTGCATTTGCTCGCGAATAATGTAACTACGGTTTGAGAGATTACAAAGATTCCGGCGGATGAGTTGGCGAATGTCTCGAGGTCCATCGTCATCTAGCCCACAGGCTGCCACCCGGTCAGGGAACCCTTTATAAGAGTGCTCCCACGATTATCTCGCATATAGGCGTTCTATGTAGCTGAAAGATACACAACAGATTCCAAAATCTTGCAAAGAATAATCTCTTCCTTTTGTGGTCATGCTCGTTTACTTCGTCTTCCTCCAATTCTTGGCCTGGGCTGCAGCCCAGATCAATTTCACCAACCCCATTATTTGGCAAGATCTCCCAGACATCGACCTAATCCGCCACCGCGATGCATACTACTATTCAGCCTCAACCTTTCAGTTTTCACCTGGAGCAGTAATCCTACGCTCTTACGATCTCGTCAACTGGGAATATCTCTCTCACTCGGTACCAAGTCTGGATTTCGGCGACACAGAGGGCTTCGATCTCGTCTCCGGCCCTGGCCAGCGCTACAATCAGGGCATCTTCGCATCCTACTTCAACTACCGCAAGAGCACCGACACGTTCTACTGGGGAGGATGTATCGTGGGCGACTGGAAGACCTATGTCTACACCGCGCCCGCCGTGGAAGGCCCCTGGACACAGAGCTCCGTCATCGATATCTGTCTCTACGATGCGGGCATGCTCATAGACGACGACGACGACACTATATATGTAGCGCATGGCAATACCAACATCTCCGTTGCTCAGTTGAGCGATGATGGCCTACGTGTTGTCAGGGACGAGGTTGTCTTCAATTCGACAGAAGAGCTCGGCTACATTGAGGGATCTCGCTTCTACAAGAGGAACGGCGCCTGGTACCTCTGGATCGTCAAGCCAGTCCCGAACCAAATCGTGCTCAAGTCGACAACTGGACCATTCGGGCCGTATGAGTGGAGATGGGTGCTGCAAAGCAACGGCAATCCAGTTCCAGGCGCCGGCAACCCGCACCAAGGCGCTCTCGTGAGCACGCCCGACGACAAGTGGCATTACATCGCACACCTCGAAGCATACCCAGGAGGCCGTATACCCGTCCTCGCACCCGTCCACTGGGACGATGACGGTTGGCCTCATGTGGACTTTGTGGATGAGCAGTGGGCGAGCTCATATCCCTACCCTCTCCCAGAGCACCCAGTCAAGCCCATCACTGGCACAGACAAGTTCGAAACACTCGGTCCCCAATATCAATGGAATCATAATCCAGATAACTCGGCATGGGCTATCAACGACGGCCTCGAGCTCCATACGGCGACTGTCACGGACGACTTCTTCCGCGCTCGGAATACACTCACGCATCGTATTCTTGGGCCTCAGTCTACTCTCACCATTGAACTCGATCACTCGCAGATGGTTGACGGCGATCGAGCGGGCGTTGTCCTATTCCGCTACGCTGCCGCTTGGATTGGGATGATCAAGAGTGAAAACAACACCAGGGTAGCTATGGTGAACGACATCCTGATGATTCCTGATGATGGATGGCATACCGTGAATAAGGGCGACGAGATCGCGAGTGTGGAGGTGAGTGGTGCTACAGTCTGGTTGCGCCTCGAGGTTGGCGTAAACTCGTTCTATAACCAGGAGGGACGGTTTTCCTGGAGCACTGATGGTGTCAACTTTGAGCCTCTCGGTGAGCCACACGAAGAGATTGACCGTGGCATCCTCCACTTCATGGGGTATCGGTACGGCGTCTTCAACTATGCCACACTTGCTCGAGGTGGTGCTGTCACTGTCAAGTCTCTTAGCATCTACGAGTAGTGAACTCTCCTTGAGCCTTCTGCCAAGATGAAACTTGGTGGTATGTCAACAAGTGTTCGCTTGGAATCGATTGGCATTCGGGGTTCTCGGTTTTGGGGACAGCATGCACTTCCCCGGCTTGGCATTCTTGATAGATTACCATCATGAATGATCAATCCTAAGATGTCAGCATTAAAACCAACATAGCACAGACTTCTGAATAACCCATCCCAATCATCTAGCATGCATAAACCTGTCTCATTGATCGCAAATTCAAAGTAGCTGCATGTCTGCCACTAAACACAGGCACACAAGCCAAAAGCACATCGCCTTGAACAAACACGTGCTAGCACAGATCTCGTCGACGTACTGTATATGCCTACCTCGATGCGCCCGCATCCACGAGGTCTTGCAAGCGATCCGCGTCAGACGTCTGAATCGTCTGGCGTACACTCTCTACAATTCAGGTCTAGCCGTGCCGTACAGCCGGAAAGACATACGCGTCCGGGGGCGGAGAAGGGAGATCCATCGTCCGAGAACCAAAACCCCCCTTGAAAGCCCGCCGCGCCGTCCGATCCGGCCCCGTCTCCTGCGCCACCACCAAAAACCCCTCCCCCGGCCGGGAGTCCCGCTACTGCGCGCGCGTGTGTGAAACTGCGAAAATTGCTGGGAACTTGTATTTGATATTCACATGTACTCTGTACGGAAGAAAACCTCTTAAGTAAAAACGGCCCAGTCTAGAACTCCCATTGTGGAACCGCTTTTTTCAATGGGGTAAAAGTCCAGGCCTTTCGTTCCTATGGTCCTCCGCTCCGCCAACGCGTGCTTCCCGCCATGGATGCATGGACCAACGAACCACGCAAATGGGTGACAAAGCAGGGAGGACAAAGGTGCCGTTCACCAGAACCAGGCGCCTTCATACAGCGGCTATAAGTGTTGTAGTTACTATACGCTTTCTAAAGCATATTCTATGCTGAACTCATGAGGAGCAAAAAGCAACGATATTGATGATAGTAGTGGTAGCAGAAATAGTAGTAGCAGAGATGGAAACAGCAGGAACAGTAGTAAAATGAACAGCAGCCATAGGAATGGCAGTTGTGGTCATAGCAGTGACACTAGCAGTGAATACCTTAGGAACAGCAACAATAGAGCAAAGGCATCAAGTGGGAAACAACTGTACCACCCACATGCTACTGAACTAGAAACCTAACTCTCAAAGGTTTGGGCGTCTCCAAACAACCCACATCGGCACTTGGTCAGTGGTCCCTGATGCAATCCCAGGAAGAAAGTCCACCAAATGGTCAGATTGAACTCTATCACAGCATCGATGCCTCGTTCCAAAGGGTGGGTTGTCGTTACACCACGACGCAGCAAACTCAGGGGCAAATCTGCAGGCAGAGAGCCAAGCTTTTCTCGGACCGTTAATGGCGCCAAACGGTCAACCGCGCCACCATCAATCTACTTGTCACTCAATGAGCCGCATCCTCCCGTCTACACAGCGACCATTGCGTCACAGGAAAAAAAAAAAAAAAAAAAAAAAAAAAAAACAAAAAAAAAACGGGAGCGCAAGGTACTAGATTCCCGAACGTTTAAACACCATATTGCGATCTCTGGTCTCCCACCGGGTAGAGGGTCGATGTTTGATAGAAAGTATCCGTAGCGTATCCGTAGCGTAAAGCAAGCCTGGCGTAAAGTAGCCGGGTGAAACATTGATTGATAACAATGCTCGAAAGTTCGGTGCTTTCAACACTGGTAGATCCCGCCAATGGGATCGAGCTATACGGTCCCAGTGGAACACCCATTTTTTCCCCACCCGGCTGGGGTTGTGGCATATCACTGGGAAAAGTTGCTAGGTAATCTATCACAAACGTCTCCGGGAGAGCCGCCGACGGGAATGTCGCAAGATCGTCATCCACAGTCTACAGATTCATTGAGCATATATTGCAATTTGCAGGTCTTTCTCGGCTGCCCTCCCGGCCAGTTCGGTCGAGTGGTGATAGAGCCTAAACGGAAGATCGAACCTGGTAGTAGGTCAGGCGTTCACATTCGTACCGCGTAAAAAGCTCCGCGTATGCGAGTCAATCATCAAGTTGCAAGTGGATATCCTCAAGCGAACAACATTACCCAAATCCACAACACAATCTCGTCAATCTGGGTCAAATTCCTCCTATCCCACCGTAAACACTCATTCCTCTGTATCCGTACCCCGTACTTCAAGAGTCATTACGGTCTAGCCACCGTCACGTCCAAAATGCAACCCGTCGTCTCAATGGAATACCCGAGGGGGAGGGGCCGAGGGGCTCGTTAATTCGAATAAAGTTATAGCGGAGGAACAAAGAACAAATGAACAACCCCAGTCCATCGCCCCCACTCAGGCACCAGGTAAATTGGACAAGGACCCCCGGGAGGCGAATGATCAAGTTCCTCCCCGATTCCCCGATCGCCATTCAAAACCACCCAATTTCGCCTTTACCGTTTGATTAGTTCAAGAAACGGTGGATCGAATTCGCCTGGGGACGCGCAAGCATGTGTGGCCCCCCGCGGTAAGCCAAATGTGTAGTGCTATTCGGCGGAGCTTGTGCCGAGTCGGGACCGAGACATTGGTTATGTTGCAGGCATACCACTGAGTTCTACGGATAGCGTGTAAGGTCTGAGACATGAGGCTCAAGTCCAGTTGTTTGGACATCTACGGATACACTGGTCTCGAATGTCGTTAGTAGTCATGCCACGAGCCAAAGCAGATTTCTCGTCTTGTAAAACGTTTATGTCCTCATGGGTATATTGGTCCCATTATCAGCGTAAGCTTCCCACCTCTGCCTCTAGGGCAGTCAAAAGGCTAGAATTACAAAGTTGGCTAGACCCAAAGATGTCCTCCAACAGTGTGGAAGTGAAAGCGAACGAGAGCCAAAGGATTCGAAAAGAATAATCCTTTAGGCATAAATAAAGATACGCCGCCCATTGCCTTTGCCCACCGGAACGCCTTACTGTGCAGTTTTGAGGTTTTCTCGTCCAATGTACCTTCTGGCCGTTGTATGTCCGAACGAAATGCAAAGCCTCATGTAGTCTTGCTCATCTACCACTTTCTTTAACTCATCATTATGATTCAGGGTACATCAGCTTCAGATGACCAGCCCCTTGCCGATGCCCTGGACCTGGAATCCAAGTTTCTCCAGGTCAGGAACGGAGACCACGTTGCGTCCATCGAGCACAAGACGAGGGCGCTTCATGACTGACGCTGCCCACTCCCAGTCAACAGGGTCGCCCAGGTCTTCGTTGGCGGCATCGAAGTTGCAACCCTTGCAGCCTTCTTGACACTCAGCCTCGGCCTTCATGCGCTTCAATGGGTCCGTCGGCGTGTTGGTGCTGGTGCGAGAGACAAACTTCTCAAGTTCGACAATGTCCATCTCGGAAAGAGACTCCTTGATGAAAGCCTTGGCCTCTTCGCGAGACGCCTCGGGGCTGCTCCAGACAGACGAGCGACGAGCAGTACTCTGAGCCTGCTTCGGGTAGCGGAAGTGGTACCAAGGGGTGAGAATGCAGATCGCGCTCGAGCCGTGAACGGTGTCCCTCCAGTTGGTGTGGACCTTGACACGCTCAACGACACGCTCGTCTGGGATAGACTGACGGACCTCCTCCATCACTTCGACAGGGTCACAGCCAGGGTCAAAGATGGCGATTTCGTTGGGCATCTCGTGAGCCAGCTCGGTGATGATGTGCACAGCAATACTGTTGCGGGTATCGTTGGTGTTCTCCTTGAAGGCAAATCCGAGGATGGCGACCTTCTTGCGGCGCAAGTTACCGTTGAGAGCGCGGTGAACCTTCTGGGCAAAGCGCTCACGCTGATACTTGTTGATATCGAGTACACCCATCCAGTAGTCGGCGACAGTGTCCAAGTGGAGAGTACGGGCCATGTACGCCAGGTTAAGGATGTCCTTCTCGAAGCAAGAACCACCGAACCCGACACCCGCGTGGAGGAACTTCTTGCCCAAGCGAGTGTCCGCGCCGATACCCTGGCTAATCTCCTGCACGTCGGCACCAAGCTCCTCGCAGAGAGCACTGATACTGTTGATGCTGCTGATACGCTGGGCAAGCATGGCGTTAGCTACCAGCTTGGTCAACTCGCTAGACCAAGTGTTGACGGTCAAAATCTTTTGCTCGGGAACCCAGGCGGCGTAAACGCCCTTGAGAGCGTTGGCGGCCCGAACGCCAGCAGGAGTGGTAGAGCTGCCGATCAAAATGCGGTCGGGGTGCATAAGGTCGCGGACTGCGGTTCCCTCGGCAAGGAACTCGGGGTTTGAGACAATCTCAAATTCGGCGTCGGGTTGGTACTGGGCCATCTGTTCAGGTGTTAGTCTCGGTTTGTTTCCATTGTGAAGACGGACCATGCTGTGGCCGACGAATTTTTGGGCCTAAACACTCACAATTTCGCGGATCATGCGAGCAGTGCCTGTAGGTACCGTGCTCTTCTCAACAATGACAGCACCATCCTTTGCATACTTGGCGACAGTCTCAGACGCTCCTTCCAGAGCGCTCAGGTCGGCAGTGTAGCCAGCACCGAGTCCGTAGGTCTTGGTAGGAGTGTTGACGCAAATAAGAACAATGTCTGCCTCGCCGATGCATCGCTGGACGTCGGTTGTGAAGGTGAGATTGGGCTTGCGAGGAGCAATCTTTACAGAGTTGCTGACTGAGGGAAGGAAGGCTGTGGCCCCATTGGTGCCATCGCGAGAAATGCGGACGATCTTAGGAAGGCCAGCCTCATGAATAGGGAGATGGGGAGAGTTCCATGCGGCAATACGGTCGGCGTTGAGGTCCACGACGTTGACGGTAAGGTCGGGGTTGTGAAGTGCGATCAGAGCCGCAGTAGGGCCACCTGCAATAATCTGTTAGCTCCATTTTTGATCCTATCGAATACGAGGTCTGTATAAGACCGATTTTGACGACAGTGCTTGCGTCTGATTTAATTAGTGACACTTGCAGCATTCGACGATATTAAGTTCGTGACGCCTGCCAGCTAATTCAAATCTGTAGCTAATAAAGCAGTTCAAGCCTCGAAAAACATGGGCTGAACAAGGATGTGGGATGGACAAGAGTCATGACCACGGCGACGGGGAGAATTCGATGCCGATAGCCATCGCGACGGTTTTACTTACCAACAAAACCAGCACCAACGAAGCAAACGTTCTTGACGTTCAATGGCTCAAGAGGCTCCAGATCCGAGGCATCTAGCGATTCGTGATGCTTCAGCTCGGGGCTGCGAGGTCTAGAAGCGGGAGGGGAAGAGTTGGGCGTTCCGGTGCCAGAAGCAGCATCTGAGTGGCCTGCGCTGAGGGCCGGTGATTCGGAAACCATGCTGCAGACGGTTGAAGTTGAGTCTGCGGTGATGAGGCTTGAACGGGCGAAGCTTGCAGCCATCGATCAAATTCTCTGTTGACGGACAGAGCTGACGATGACGGACGAATGACAAAAGGGTTGGCGTCCCTTTTTGTTCAGTGGCGAGGGCCTGGGATATGTGCAGGGTAGGTGAGACCGGTGGGATGTCAATGGGCTCTGAAGAGGGAAAATCAAAGAGTGATCCAGTCGACACTCTTGATTAGAGAAACGTGGCTTGAGTTTGCAAGAAGCGACCGAAAGATAAGTTGTTGTGGTAGATGATGATATTCCTGGCAAGTCGTAGTGACGAGTGCGGCCCTTTTGAATGCGCACAAGTTGGAGTTGAGTGCGGTGAATGGAGGGGACTCCAAAGATCGGACGACGGCCGCGAGTTGTGTAAATTGATGGGTCTGAGAAGTGACTGATAATCGAAAATGGGTTTCTCAAAAACCCAAAGCTGAGTTCCCTTGCGTTGCTTGGCAAGTCGGTTTCTGCTTCCTTTTTCTGCGGTTTGTCTGGTGAATGAACAGCGAGACAAATCGGGTCAAGTCGTACTTTTGGAGCGCAGAAGTACAAATTGGCGGAATCGGAAGAGTGGGTGCGGGTGACGGCGTAGACGTAGGACGAACGGCGTACGTGGGAGCGAAAGTGGGATTGGACAGGTGCACTAACGCTCAAACCGGCTTCACATGGGATTGGCGCCCGTTGTAAGAAGTGGTCGATGAAGTTCGGTGATGTGTCCCAGACAGGTGAATCGGGAGACGAGGTAAGGGAGGTGAGGTGAGAAGAGCTTTGGGAGGGGGAGATCTGGAGTAGTTTAATGTGAAGAAGCTGGGCAGACGTGGAGCGAGCGGCAGGTTTATCCAAACCCGGAATTCATCAATCTCCAACGAAGGTGAGGGCAAAGCGCACGAATACAGCAACAGTACCACAGTAATGGTTGAACGGACGATTTCAAGTGGAAAATGCAGCGGGTAGGGCACAGGGGCTCTTTCTTGATATATCCTCCAGGGTCTTGGCTCTTTTTCTTGTTACTCCCCTCCTTCTTCTCCGTCGACGGTGCCGTCCGAGAGTTGTGGACTGCGGACTGTGGACCACAACGCTGGACAGTCGGGATAGGGGATGGATGGGTGAGAGACGATGCGTGATGGGATGGGATGGGACGTGGTGCGTGGATAGGATGGGATGGGATGGGATGGAGTCTTGGAGATGGGCAATGCGGGACCTCAATGTGGATTGGATGGGAGCATGGCATGGAGAGAGAAGAAGATAGGCATGGCATGGGCATCGCATCCTTGTTCACAGACGGCCAGAGGGAACCAGCGATTTCCCATCCATCCCGGTTGCCGTTGCTGCTGCTCCGTCGTTGCTCCTTTGCTCTATTTCGCTGCCGCTTTCCTAGGTATCGGTACCGGTATTCGTGCCAGCAAGTATATCCGTACACTACTACAAAGTAGCAGCAAGAACAGGGACCAGGAGGTACCGAAGACGAGGACACACCCAGGACTCTTGGAGCAGGAGCACAGAGGAGCGAGACCGGGACCGGGACCAGGTACTTGGCTTTCCTAGAATAGCGTAATCAATGGACGTGTGTAGGCAAGGTACTTGGGTCCGTCTGGGAGGTATTAAACGGTACGCACGGAGTATTGTCATGGAATACTCTCTTCGCCTCTTACTGAGCCTGACGTGTCCTGGCTACCTTGCTTGCGACTTCAATGTTCGGATAGCTGGCGGGTGAGATATTGGACGATTTTCGGCGGCAGTGGAGGCAGAAAAGAAAGCAAAAGACAGATGCAGCCGGAGGCACACAAGGGAGTGGCTTGGTTTGTTGTTCGCTGTCGCTGGCTTTTCGCCTTAGAGACTTCTAAGCTCTTGGCCTTATCGTACGGCAACGTTTCCACCGCTCGAAGCTTGGCATTCGGTACGGCAGCCGTGTCGAATCCCAAGACTCCCTCGTCGTGCAGGTAAAGGTTGCAGCTACGGAGTTTTCCTGCAACGCAAGGTATTAATACTGTGTATCCATACGTAGACAGTTCGATCGAATGGCGGCTCAGGCCCGGCCAGGGAGAAGGGGGAGCCAGCCGCGCATGGAAAGGTACGTCGTCCGTCACGGAGGTCTCCTATTGCCATGTTTGCTTTTCTGCAAGAAGGCGTCGTACGCACGCTGTACCATTCTCTGTACTCAGACGCAGACCCCGGATGCTTGCGGCTGCTGCAGGCGTGGCGGGATGCCCCGGACAGTTGCAGGCTTGCAGCATCACGGACAATGGGATGGCGTGGAAGGGATGCGTGTCTTCCGTTTTGGAAAGTCGAGGGCGGTCGGCCTGAGTGTAGGACGAGCGACGGGAAGGTCTTGGCCCGGTCCCTGAGCCCTCGATCCAGAATGCTCCCCTGTCCGAGCCGTAACTGATTTTTTATTTTTATTTTTTATTTTTTTGGATTCTGGTTTTGAGATCTGGAGTCTCGATGGATGAGGCTTAGTGATGGGCAGGAAACATTCGTCCATGTACCGATTCCAAGCCTTTGGCGTAGCATCTCTGCATTACTGATGCTCTTTACCCTGCAGGCTTGCTGGCAAAGTGGTTTTGCGATGTCAGCGCAAGTCGCTTTGGCGAGCTGCGATGCTTGATGTATTGACTAATGACAAGTCTTTCATTACGTGGTTCCGCGGGAGGCACCGTCCAGATAGATGCTCAGGAAAGCGAACGGGGAGGAAGTGAACAGAGTGAATGGAAGCCAAAACGGTTGGCTTCAAAGAGCCGTTTTTCTGATCTTGTCTCTCCCTTCAATGTTGCGAGGTACATCGGATCGGTACTAGTTTCTAGTGGTGAGATGAAGTACCTCGGTGGCTGGAATATCGGGGCCATCTGGTGAGCCGAGGGGGGCACTGGGGGCCCTCACAAATCTTAGCGATACTTCTGTACGGAGTACGTACGGGGACCTGTAACTTCGAGAACAGTTGGAGATTGGAGAGGCCCAGAAAATTGGGTAAAAAGTACCTACACATGCCCGTCCCTTAGCAGAGTGACTAAGGCAAGCCGCAAGCGCAGACAAAAGGTGAAATTGAGTGGCCGTTACGGATACATCAGGAGGGGCCCCCGTAGTTGCTTGGCAGATGAAATACGTAGTGACGTCCTCTGGATGCCTTCCTCGCTTTTGCCTTTGGGTTCCGTCTGTTCTTCCCTTCTCTCAACTTGAAGCCTCAAGTGACAAGACGTCAAGAGCGTGCTTTCCTTCCACTGACATCTGACATTGCCATGTCATTGTCCGAGTGTTGACCGTCCGTTCCTACCGTTCCTCTCCGTTCCTTGGGACCGTAGGAAACTCAGAAAGTCACTTCCCCTTCCCTCCCAGATGAACCCCTGTCACAGAGTGCGCGGAACAGCAGGAGCAGAGACTCACTACCGACCGGGCCCCAACTGCTGCACTAGCACGGCACCGCATGGCAGGCATGGCAAGCGTGGCAGGCATGCCAGCAAGGGACCTGAATTTGTCTTAGCCTCACTTGCCCGCTGGCCTGTCAAGTTTGATTGAGCCTTGCAGTCTGTGACATCATCTCGAACCGGTACCTCAGCCCGGAGTTTCTGAACTTTGTCGATTATGGAAGCTGCTCTTGCTGGTAATGTCTTTTTGTAGATACTGCGGTGCATTGCTACCCGAGCAGTTTCCACGTCCCATCTTGTTATCGAGATGCGGAAAGAAGCAGCAGGGCAGGGAGGGATGAGAGAAGAAAGTGCGGCAAGACAGGCAACGACAGGCAAGACAAGTCTAGAAGCTTGGGATCATGTCGGAGGCAATTCCTTCAAGCTTAAAGCGCCTCCAAGACTCCAGCAGATTCGCACCCACTCTGTCAGGTCAGGTTTTGCCATGTCAATATCTGCTGCTTTCTTCTTCTCATTTCGACTGCTTCACTTCCCGTCCACCTCGGGGATGGCGTTCGCGCATGCACTGGCGGTGCCGCCGCGGCGCTTCCACTGTCCTTGGTTCGGTTTGGCTAAATGCTTAGCAACAGGTGGTCACAACGTCCCTCTCAAGACTCCGTCGGGGAAGTACCAGCGCTCATCACTCCACTTTGCGCGCCTAAGAGACTTGTTCCTGGAATTTCACCATTCTGCGAACCCGCATGGTTAATGAATAGACCCCACCCGCCTGTTCAGAGTCAGCGGGGAGCGCTCTGCTACATACGCGATCAGAAGCCCATCCGAGGTGCTTGCTTCCCGCCCAGCCGGCGCGTGACGGATCTTTCAGACTATCATGAACGAGGTCTTTTCGGAATACATGTATCTTGAAATTACTGACCGACCCCGACTCAGTACTCCTTACGCTCGACTAGAGGGAGAGACCCTCCCACCAGCGATCGTCATCTGCCACAACTCCCCTGGCGCTGGCGGAACGCTTTGAAGAATTGGACTCCAACTGGCGGCGGACGCTTGCTGCTCGTCGTCAGATACAGCGCATACCCACTCTATAACGCGATGGACAAGGAAGACGGCAGAGATACCCCCAATGGTGGCCCCATTTCGCAATGAACATGGGAATCTCTATCGCCTCAGAATTAAGGTAGGAGACTAGGATCGGTTTGACATGCTCGCTGATCGCCATCGTCCGTTTGCTTTGTCGTTTTACCCATACAACTTCCCAAGGGGTCATCCCGACCCTGTCTGTCGGCTTCGCAGCTCCCATGAGGGGAGTGCTGAGCCTCTCTAGCTCAGCCATTCTGCGTCCTCCGCCAGCAATGCGATACTATTTCCGCCATCGATTCAGGCCACTCTCTGGGGCAAGCACGTCGGTGCCGCCTTTACGGACGATATAATGGATGAGCTCCAAAGCTTTCGTGTCCTGTAGGGGGTGATTCAGCGCCCGAACAGGATTCAAAGCTGACAGCTGCGCGAGACACCACTAGCGAACCCTCCTCTGCCTTCTTTCTCCTCTCCACCCCTCCTCCAAGCTCCCGCCCTCCTCCTTCATCGGAGTGGCGGAATTCAGGAGACGAGGACGGGGGTCCATGGAGGGACCTTCATTACGGAAAATCACACTGGGTTACTGGCCACAGAATACCGCCGAGACTGAGACTTGCTAGAGCCTAGTGGTTTCTCAAGGTAGTCGCCTCACCTTCTCAATCCGTTGGCTTCCTTCCAATGACCATCTGCCAAAGACAACTTCGGGCCTGCAAATCAACAGGGAGCATATGCAATCATCCAATAGCCGCCATGGGCCAGACACTTCGAGAGGCAAACAGTTAACAGAGTCTCGTTAAGCTCAAATGTCTCACACAAATGGCCGTGGCGCAACATGAACACCACACTTCAAAGAGTGCATCAAAAAATTCGGCAAAATGTACATGTACCATGCAGACCTGGAGCAGAAGGAAGACTACCTAATAGGCTTGGAGTCGCGATCTTCAGGCACAGACGGTGGGATGAGACGCTTGCCCATCATTGGCCAAGCCACTTCAGTCGAGCAATTGCCCCAGGGGGGGCCACCACACCTCAAACGAAGCCTGCCGTTGGCTCGAGACTCTCGCTTTTGTCCCACAATGTGACGACGACAGAGACAACTGAATCCACAACGAGAGCGAAAGGCAGTCTAGACTTTATACTCAAAAGCCCGGACGCCCATTCGCACGGTAATTGCAAGACGCTTTATCGCACCTCACAATGTGGTTCTGCCAGCGAATGAGCAGCGGCCGGGTGCCATTGTTCAAAAGCTTCAGACAGAGGTACCGCGATGGCTACCAAGATGAAACTGATTCCCCAGCTTGACGTGCTTATGTGCGCGCCCAATCGGGGGTACAAAGTTCGAACTGTGTGGGTGGCTCCCCCATGCGATGAGCACATTGACATGCTATCTGTACGGATACTTGCGAGGAGATCCCCTTTAGATCGATAGGATTACGGAGCACTGCAGTGCCTGATGATTGCAGATTTTCTTCGCGTCCTTGGTACGAACCTCGGCGTCGATACCTGCGAATACAGTTCTTCGTTGGTGATGGCTTGTTAGTACCGACAAGCCCGTGTGGGACGATTCGCGACGAAGCGGTCAGAGACGGATGGAGAAGCAAACCCACAGAAGTTCGTCTCTTGAAGGCGGGCAGGCGAAGCTTACGGTACATCAAACAAGAACGGGTGTGTGAGGTGCAACATGCGGTGGAAGGGAGAGAGACACACCGTTACTAGCATGACAGCAGCACTAGCAGCACTACAGCACCGCTCTGTACGCTGGGCTGGGCAGACCAAAGTCACTTGGCCCCCCCGGATATTAGTGCAGCGGATTGCCAAGTTGGCACCAAGAGCGGAGAGACGCAGGTTCCCACCAGGTCTAGCATCATCCCCTGTCGGTGCTGACGACGCCTCGTTGATTACAGGCTCGGCAAGGTGGATCGTGGGACGGCACAGAGGTTCGGATTCGAGAAGGCGAGGGAGAACTTGAGGGCTGATGGGGCCCTCTGTCTCAACTTGGGTCGATTGGGTCGTGGCGTGGCATTCTTGAGTCGCATTGAAGAGCCTGGGTAGAAGGCGTCCCTTTCCTTTCGCGGATTCACCCTCAATCAGGCCTGGTATGGCGGCTCATCGTTGTCGTCGACTCATCGGGTCTATGCTCGTGGTCGGTTGATCGGGTCAGTCTCTCGCCGATTTTGGCCAACGGCTTTTCCCTGATGCTGTCCATCCCCATTCGACTGGGAACGCCAGTCGTCCTCCTGGACAAGCGCTTCTGCTAGTCGAAATACTCAAGCCGTTCCTGTCACATTAACCTTGGGTCGTGAAGTCCGTCCCGATTCTGGATTGCATCTGCATGCTCCAGGACCGTGATAAGGGCGACCGACTGGTGTGTCGGCGAACGGATACAGCGGCACTCTGCCCAGAGTATTCCCCTTTCATGTGGCGAGATCGCCTTTTCCCAGGCGAATTAGAGTCATTGCAGTCTCGACGAAGCTGCAGGTCGCTGGAGACATCAAGGCCTTGGTGTTCTTGGTGGTCTTGGTGATGGTGCGGCCTTTGATCCTTCGGATGAGGCGGGTTTCAGGGGCCTTATCCCGCGACCGTTGTTTTTGTGTTTCGCTGGGTCGAAGTCCGGGGTTGGCAAGTCGTCGATTCGCCGAATCTTTGCATCGATACCAAGGATCCAAGCTATTGGCGTTTTTTTTTGTCAGTGCCAGGTGGTGCCGCGGTGTTGGTAGTGGTGGTGGGCGACGCATTGTGGCATCGTAATCCGACAAAAGGTCACCACCCAAAACATCGGATTTGTACGAGCCTCGACATGCTCGTTCGGTCAGATTCTTGCTGTGCGAAGAAAGGATGACTGAAACAGAAAACCTAACGGGGGGCGACGCTGCGATTATGTACTGGAGAGGCGGGCAAATACGAGATTCTGGGGGATACGATCTATCCCTTTAGTATTCACCCCTGGATGCCCTCGCCCATCACCATGCTGTTTTGGGCATGTTACGGGTTACGAGCCATTGCTGCTCTGAGGCTTAACACGGTGGCCGAGAAGCCCGGTAGGCGTAAGTTGGAGAGGCACTGCAACATGACTCGGGCGAAGCGTTCTCACTGCTCGAGCGGCTTACTAACGCACGCTCTAGGCTCTGTAGGGCCTTGCAGGTCGTCTAAGGCGTGGAGGGCGCTTTGCATTGCGATTTATGGTTAAGTTAAACTCATTGCGGCTCTGGGAAATTGGGGAATTGCCCGAAGGCATTATGAGTGAGCTGGAGCAGGGCATTGAATGGTGGCGAAGAATGCCGCCCGACAGCTTGGGCCTCAGCGTGTGCAATTGAGACTTTGAGAGCAAGGCTGGAGGCGACTCCCATTCATCTCACACCACGTAAGAGACCCCGAATAATGGAAGCTGTGTGGCAGAGACTGGCTCAGTGAAGTCGACTGACCATCCAGGCGACATGAGCTTGGTGAGTAGTAGGAATGCTTCGTCCCCGTTCTGCTCACTCTTCGTGTTGACTGAAGTGGTTTGGAGCAGGTTTGCAGTATCGATCTCATGTCGTTTACCCATACGTGCGTTGGCTTCTCTGATATAGATAGAGAGCTCTCAGAGATAGGGCGCAAACACCTCGCTTATACCAAACAATGAAGCTCGTCAAGTCGAGTCTATTGGGACGCTTCGTAACTACCCTTCCACTTGTTGATAGGTAGACCAACTAACATTCATGTTGGCAGCTCCAGGACCGCCTAAAATCACGGTGGCTCGCACGGAATTGCGTGTCAGATTTCATCGTCAGCCATGTCCAAGGTGGAGACATGCCCGCCTGTTGGAGTTTTGCCAGCGCCTCTCTCGACGATGTGTACTCAGATGGTATGTGAAATGTTCGTGATTGTCAATTGTTAATGAGTCATTGCGAATGCTTTATTTTCGACAAGCTCACTTTCCACTCATAAAAGAAAGCAAGCGATTGCTGGATATTGTTAGTTTGTGTGAGATGCAATGGGTGTTGTGCACTTCCAGTGAGACGAATGCTCATCAGCTCACTCACTCGACCTTTCTCAATCTTACTCAAACGGACCATTTGCTCGCTCATTCACCCACTTCAAAGCTCACGCTCACTCAATCATCCCACCACACTCATCATTATATGCTTCGAGACAAATTCCATAGGTACGGAGTACCTAACTCAGAGTTACAATCCAAAGCACCACTTGACGACATTGGATCTTATCTCTTCAGCGCAGCCACAGGCGCCATCCCGACCAGGCCATGGACGGCCAGCAAACGCCTTTTTCCCAATCGGGAAGAGATGGTGCATATGCTTGTTTTTTAGCTCGCCCACATGCGCCGGGCTCAGAGAAAAGCCTAGCTGAGGCTAGAGCTACCTCCCCTCGAAGCTACTGAGAGGAAAACCAAGGTGAATGAGTGAGCGTAGTGAGGTACTCCGTACCTTCAGGTGAGGTGATGTAATGAGAGAGGACAACAGGTAGCTGCCAAACAAAGCCAGCAAATTCGATGCTGCCGCCAATGCTATTGCCAATGCCAATGCGAATTGCCAACACCAAACGGGAGAGCACAACCGAATCATCGACCCCGGATTCACCTCACCTTCCAGTAGCTACCTCCCTATGGCATTGGGTCATGCCGCTGTCATTCGACGCGAGATAAGCGGGCAGGGTCGAAGCTCTGGTTCCTGTCCTTTTTCAGCCCCTCCTGCCAATATTTTCTCAGCTTTTGGATGGGCAGGCGAGCTGGGCCCAGAACGTGAGGAATGTCACCAAAGACCTGTATCCGTAGGCTACCTTAGCCTCCTTCTCTCGCAGTGTCTCTCTTTTTTTTCCCCTCCTTCCTCATCGTCATCTTTTTTTTTCCCTTCCTTCCTTTTGCTCCACCCACAGACCTCAACCTGCGCCTGCCTCCCCGGTCCCGTCAATTTGACTGAGAGAGTGACATTGTGACAGTAGTTCATCCCATCGGACCCCATCAGCCATCCTCATCGCCTGCCACCGTCGTCCTCCGGTCTGCACTCCGACGTTTTATTCACCTTTCGTCATTGTATCTTCCCAACGAGCTCTCTTGCAATCAAGAAAGTGTTTTGGTTGATCGCCACGGTCTTTCATCAGCACATTTGCACCCACTAATACGAAAATCGCATTTGACGTCAAGCCCATTCTAAACCTCCCCATCGTCTCACCACATCTCCGGCGCGAACAAAATGAGAAACGCAGTTCTTCTTGCCGCCGGCCTGACGGCTGTTCGTCACGCGTCTGCTGCGTATGATACGACAATTTGCGGCAAGACAAACAAGTTTACGAGCTCAGATACCCGATTCATCTGTACGTGAATCCCCCATTGACCTTCTACCTTAGGTCTGACTCCAGATCATCCACCAACATCTACTTCCACGTAAACGCCGTCACGATAAATGAAGCACAGCACACTCGCTCTACCCTTTGTCGTGAACCAAGCTAATAATACGAGAAATCTGCAGTCCAGTCAAATGCCTGGAACCCTGTTGGGAATGGCTCCTCATGCGTGTCGGTAAGTGATGTGACGTGACGAGCTGTCGCATTTGGGCTTCAGAGCCTTTCTACACCTTAATGCTCCTATCATGGCCCCTCCTACTCATACCATACCACCCCGCTCCCATCATCCTGCCTCGGACCTGCATACCATCACGAGCTCCATCGTGGCTTTCTTCCACCTGCCATCCTTCTCAGCTTTCCAATCCCATGCTCGGACATTTAGTCCTCTCATAGCCTCACCACATCCACTAACACGATGCTCTTCGCGATGCGTAGGTTGACCAATCTGTCCCGGCCTTCGACGCCAACTGGAATTGGGAAGACGACAAGAACAACGTCCACTCGTTCCCTCATGTCCGCTTCAACTCCACAAAGCTGCCGACCAAGCTGAGCGCCATCAAGACGATGCGCCTGGCGACGCAATGGACCATGCGCAAAGGCAACCCCGAGAACGACCCCCCTCGCGACTTTGCCGCCACCACCTGGGCGGAGAGCAAAGCCGAGCTCAGCGACGTCGTCGCCAATGCCGCGTGGGATTTCTTTGTCGACAAGAACAAGACCAAGACATACAACCCCATTGACTCGGAGGCGGAGATTATGATTTGGCTGGGCAAGGTTGGAAACCCGTACCCGCTGATGGGCGATTCCATCCTCACCAACATCACCCTCGGCTCGACTGAGTTGTAAGCATTTCTCCCAGTTCACCCCGACTTGGGATCCTTCTCGTATTCTGTACCTTGTCGCGGTGATGCTGACACGCTTCCTCTCCAGCTCCCTGTGGTTCGATACCAACCAGCGCAACCAAAAGGTCTTTACCTGGGTCACGCGCGACAGTTCCGATGTCACTCAATTCGACGAAGATATCACGCCGCTGCTCAAATTTGTCCTGGACTCTGGCGAGATTGACAGCGACTCATGGCTCGGCCTTGTCGAGTTTGGCTCCGAGGCATGGCACTCACCGGAGAACATCACCTTCAGCGCGGCTCACTTTAGCATGGACCTCGACAATGGCGACAGCGGCTCCAGCAGCGGCAGCGGGAGCAACGACGAGAACGCGGCTGGAAGAGGCGCGCTTTCGGTGTTGGGCCTGTCTTCGGCTTTTCTGCTGTCGCTTTCGGCTTTGGCTATGTAGATTTACATACTTTTGTTTTTGCTACTATCAACATGTCTGCGTAGACAAGGAACGGGATGACGGCTTGGAGTACAGTTTTTGACTGGTTTACTGATGATATCCGGGTTTCAAGCAGTAATGGGGTTCAAAATAGCACTGGTGTTGAGGTGGTTGTACCTCGAAAGACATTGTACTTAATCAATACATAATGGCATAGAGAGAGCATGAGAACCTGTCCCACGCCCTGAACACACGATCCATGAGATCAAGGCATTGCAACAGTGTCTTCAATCTTCAATCTCATCTATGATATTATCAAGATGTTAGTCTCATTCCCAAGAGAGTTTACACCAGCTTTACGTGATTAACAGCAAGGCTAGCCTTGAAGCTCTGAAAGATCTCGGAGCTCGCGCCGATATCTCGGTTGGAGGGTTAATCAAAAGCAGCGTACCTTGCTTGGGCAGTGACACCCTCTACTGCGAGATCGTTGGTCACACACACACACACACACACACACACACACACACACACACACACACACACACACAGGCACCCTCCCAATAATCAGGGCATCCAGAGGAGATGGCGGCCTCCCAGGCAGCCAAGCCGGAAAGAGAGCACCGTCTAAACATAGCACTGCCAATCATCTTCTAAACGACTTTGCCTACCTCGCCTCCGGTATCCGTATACTAAGCCCCAGCCTCTTCTGAACACCCTCTTTCAAGCTGGACAGAGACACTGTCAGCCACTGACGGCTGTAATACGGTAGGAAAAAAATCGCTACTTCTTGCCGCTTGGTACCAAGAGCGTGTGTATGGCGGTCCGATGCGGGCATTAGGCGTGAGCAGTAGGGGTATCAGCATGCAGTAAGCCAACGATTGATGCTCATGGGCTGGTGTTGTTTACTACCAGCATCCAGTCTGCAGGCGGAAGACCGTTTTTGACGAACCGTGCTGGGAACGCGTATGGCAATCTCGTTTTCCATGAGTTGGTGGTGGGCAGCATGCATCTCGGCGCTCGCAAAGGATCAGTTGCCGGGATGTTTTTTTGATGGGGACAATGTGGCATGGATGATGGATGGGGGTGGGATGGTGTGCACGGTCTTGGCGGAGATGGATGGGAAAGGGGCGGGTTGGGCGGAGCGGGATTCGAGAAGAGGGAGACTGAACTGGTCGGTTTGCGGCTTGCCTCACAGCCTACAGGCCAAGAGACCAACACCAAAGGGGTGACGGGGATTCAGGTAAACTCTACTCCGTATGCAAGTCGACGAGAAGAGAAAAGGAAATTGTACCAAGATGCTGCGTCATCGAGATCCACGCCTCGGAGAGTGGCCTCAATCCGGCACAGCAAGATCCGTAGGACAGTCGCAGAACAATAGTTTGATATCCACACATGGCGAGAAGCGGCGGCAGAATTGGCGTTGTCGTTTCAATGTTGACGATGTGAGGAAAAACCAAGGAAGAAAGACCAGGACCTTATCTGGCGCGCCATTCTTTCGTATTGGCGGCTTGGCGCGCGTGCCGCCATGCCGAAGCAGCCAAGACAACGGGCAGCTTAAACGGCGACGACAACGTATGGACATGGGCGGCGGAGAGGAGTTAGGGATCACGGAATTTTCGTTTGATTCCTGTCTTCTTGCCGATGATGTGCTGCAGGATAGCAACCAAGATGAGCAGGGCAGTTTAGGCAGGTTTTACGTACTGTTGCCCCCTTCTTCGCGGATATTTAGCCAGCATTGTGAGAGTTCTTGGGGACCAATGTGATTGTCACTTTCCGATATGTGCCGCTGTGAGTGTGCGATTATTCGCTACGCCGCAACAAAGTGCCTCGATGCGGCGCTTCAGCGCACAGTACCCCAGGATGCAGCCTCGAACTCCAGATCACTCATCCCAATGAAAGCGGAAGCTTCAGCGGGCGACATTGGGCACAAGATCAGGGTAAACCAGGCCGCCCCGGCCGTTCAGCTGGCTTTGGCTTGCCATGTCTCGGTATTGGAGAACCGGATCAACGTGGCGGGTGTGAATCGTCGATATTATGTTCAGTGACTCTGCTAAGTGAGTCGAGACTTCCATTGCCCGCATGGCATGGTGGGTCCGATAGAATTTGTTGTAAATGGGGCGCGGAGGAGTCTTGGGGGCCATTGTTCCAATGGGATGGCGGGATGTGAGGGCTCGAGAGCGAGAACGACAGGCGAAATTATTCAAGAATGACCCGATCAGATAAGGAATCGGACCGTCAATGTCGGTAGAGAGAGCCCGGTTGGCGCCGGTACATTCTCTGTTGACGGCGCTTGATCACCTCCAAGAAGATCCCGATCGCCAGTGTTCGTTTGAGCCATTGCCAATAGTCAAAGGCTTTACTCGAGACTTCGTGACCGCAAAGCGACCTGATGAAGCGTCATCGTTGCTCAGGCCAAGCGCCGTGTAAGACAAGGATTCGTCAGCGATGTTTGGCAGAGGGGCGACGGGTGGGCGGCGGCCAGCAATGCTGCTGCACATTCAGAAAGGAAATTGCGGCGACGGAGACTGCTGGGCTAAGGAGCAGAAGGAAGAAACACCACAGAAAGACAACGACCAGCTATCCGTCAAACAGGCGAGAGAGCACGCGCCAGCGAATGAGGATGTGGAAATAGCCTCAGAGGTGGATGCTGTCATGGTTTACGCTTATTAGCTTATTAGCGTGGGCAACGTATGCGTATGTATGTAGTTGGGTAATAGTGGGCGGGCCAAGGAAGAAACGGTCTCGAACCGGTGGCCCAATTGCGTGGTATTGAGCCTCCAAGGCGGCTTTGGGGCTGGAGAAGGTATCGGTTGGCCAGTGAGACAGGATGCGTATGAGGGGGGATAGTCGCTGGCGTTGTTTGCATGTGCTGCAGTGGCAATACGAGTAGCGTGTTGCTTTTCGGCCATCAGAGACTTGACAGAGGTAGGTATGCGTTGTTGATTGGTGTTGGTCGTCCGTCATTGGGGAGACGTTCGTTGGAGAAACCCACAAGCCACAGACGGGGTGTTGGAAAGTGGAACAAGCTCAGGAAGACAGAGGAGGCTGGTGTCTCTCTTCATGATTGCAAGTTCCCAGATCCCAGGACAGCTGAAGGAATGGAGCTTCAGGCAGTCTGGCGACTGCCGATGGTCGATCTGATAGCAACGGCCGCCGTCTCGGGTCTAGTAGCGTGGTAATGTGGTTAGCAGTGATTCAGTGAATGCCAATCGTGGGCCCATTCCCACCGTGGGCTAGCTCAACGCTTTGTGTTTTTGAGTTCCAAGGTTATCTGCGTAGCGCGGCGGGTCGGAGAAGCTAGCTAGCAGGCTGGCAGACGTTGAATCAGAATTTTCTCGATGATGGCGGCACTGAGCAGATTGCAGGTTTGAAAAGGGCCGGCAAACTTGCTGCACTTTGAAGAATAGACGTCGATAGTGCGTGGATGTGTTCGGGATGGTTCGCTCTCTGGTATCGGCATCCCGGTCGATGCTGTCAAATGGCGGTCCAGATTGATGCTCTGACCATCAAAGTTCCGTCCATTTTGACAGGGACAGCCTGCTCGACAGCTGCAAACCCTGCTCTTGCCTTTTTTTTCCCTTGCCGTGGTTCGTCTTCGATCTCCGTTCTGCGGTGTTCCTTCTTGATTCTTATCCGACGTACTCGGTACACATAATTTGCGAGCAAGGAGGCACAAGTGGAAGATAGGAGCAGCAGTCTGACAGAGGAAGGGGTGGGGGTCTAAGGTATCTAAGGTACCCGAGTACGAATCTCAGAGATAGGTATGAATCACGACAGGCAGGCAGGTGCAACAAAACAGGCCACAGCAGACGGGAAGGAAGATAGAGCAAGTAGCTGCTCATCTGGAAGGAACCCGACACGATGAGGCGCTGTGGTGGCTGCAGTTCGTGCCGTTCGTGGCTCCTTCCTACAAGTTCCCAGAGCAAGTCGCATGTCGACTTTCCCTCTGGGGCCTTGGCGCCCGTGAGGTGGTTGACGCTAGCAGCGCCTGCAGATCTACCCCTGTTCATGATCCGGTACGTACTGCGACAGTCAGCTCATGGTTCCGTTGCACTTGCCGATAAGGTAGGTAACGTCTTGGCGGCTCTTTCCTCCCAGGCCCATGGGCTTTTTCCAATATCCATCCATCCCGACCTAAGGTATGTTCTCACCCACCTCGTCTCGTTCTCTGATGTTTGCGCATGCAAGAATCTTCCGAGTAATTGCCCTAAAATGTTAGCCCAAAGACGCCGCGAATGCAACAGACAAACCGGGAAATAAGCCCACGTTTGATGATGCAGGTGGCTTTTCGGTTCTTGCCCACCCTGTCTCCCCCGCGACTCCCGCCAGCCCGCCTACCTGCCACCTGATTTGCGGTTTGCCGTGTATGGCGGGCGCGGGACAACTACCTTATTTCCCACAACCCTGCTTTGATCTTTTGTATCCTTCCTCTGGGACTCTCCCCTGAGATGTATTATCTGACGCCTTCCGTCTTTGCGCCCATACCTTACATAGATAGGTAGGTACGGAGTAAGGTATCTTTCTATCTGAAATGGCAGGCGAATGTTTCCCTCATTAATACCCGCGACCTGCATTGCCCAATCATGTACGGAGTCCACTCCGATCGGCCCCACTCCACTCCGGCGTGGCATCAGGTTCTGATTCCCATTCTCTTCTCATTCTTCCTGACTCTTCAAGCCATCTGTCGTTTTCTACCCAGCTTCTCTCATTGTCTGTTTCCATCTGGTCCAGCCTCTCCTTTCATCCCCACACACGGCTTCTTGTACCGGTACTTTGCCTACTCTGTAGCCATGTGAAAATCCTGAACCCAAGTTTTTTTTCCCTCCTAGGGCTTTTCGGTTCACCTGCAGTCTACGGCAACTGTCAACCTCCCATGCAGATTTCGGCCATGGACAGTATCCTACAGTCATTAGCCTTGAGCTAGCCAACTTACTCAGCTACCTTACGTAGCACGCTGCTACGCTGCCATGCCTGAATCTGAGATGTTGGGTCCAGCTGCAATGACACCGGCTAAGGCCAGTAGGTATTCTGACTCTTTCCCAGTGGTGATGTCACAACATCTCTCCCACCGGGCCATTGCCACGGCTCGCATACGACGGGAGTCAACACGATCCGTAACCAGACATCTAAGCGCATGCAGACATGAGAGACATGCCCGCACTGAACCAGCCCTTGCAACCGCCAAACGGTCCAATGGTCGCTATATCCCTGCCACGATCCTTTTCACTTGCCCACTCACCACCTTAGCCCCGAGTGGACTGGCGACTCACGGGATATTCATGGCAGGGGCAGAAAAATGTCCATGTTCACTTTGCAGAAAGTACATTCGATCCGGACATTATTTGACGAATAAACATGGGCCATCTTGGAAGCAGGCCAAAGCAGCCCAGCCTAGCCTAGCAATGAAGTACTTCCCTACGGGATACCACCTTACCGTACGTATTCGTGCCTCATTCCGTGGCCGTGATACCGTATTCATATCCTTGCAGGAGGAAGCAAGACGGTGTGTTCACTCCTGCTTGGCCTGGAGTGGCCTGCTACTACAGCTTGCCTTGTCTTCCGCTGCCTATTCTCGAGGCCGTTTATTCTTGTTTCTCGTATGCTCGCGTATCTGTCTGGGATATCCGTGTTCCGTGAGGTAGCCGCGCCTTCCTCTCTCCACGCTGTGATGAACCTGCCTGTCTGGTCCGCTGCATTCACCAGCCCCATCCTGTCCCAGCTTCACCTTGCACTCTCACCACAATCCAATCCCGGTTACTACCAGTCTTCCCCTCCACCTCACCTTACCTCGCCTCTCCTTAGGAAACCTACACCTTCTCCTCCTCCGTCATTCCGTCGTCTGTGTGGCCTAGCTTGAACGAAACCTTTCCTCCCTACGTCCCACTCGTTGCACCTAGAGGTTACCTTAGACTTTGGCTACCAGTCCTCCGCTACCATCATCGTGCTACCCTCGCCGACTCGCCCGCTCGCTAGCTCAACTCCACGAGGCTGGTCTACCTTTCAACTTTCAGTCACTCGCTTTGACGACATTCGCTGCTCTCTTTTTTACCAACTTCGAGCTCTTGTCACGCTCTCCCCCGCGTTCGCTGCTGAGAGACCCTAACGTCTACTTCGAGGGGACCTATCAGGAGTACATGGACACTTGAAGCCATCTTCGTTTGCCTCACCACCCCTTCCGCGCACGCGTTCTACTGCCAGCCCGAGCCAACCCTCGATCTCCTAAACCAACAGTAATCTTGTGTGAAAGGAGCTTGTGTCGCTCTACCGCGACCTAATATCATAATGTCGCGTCCTCTTACACCACGGGGAGCTTCTCCCGACTCGAGCCTGACGCCCCCGACTAATCCGTTCGGTTCAAACCCCTTCGACACCGACAATGATTCGAGCGCGGCTCCCTCCCTCGCCAGTGACTCAACTTTCACTGTGGTACGTTCACATGAAGTGCCATTGGCAATGGCTTCAGGCTTGAAGGAAAGGGACTGACATATTCCAGAACGCCGTTGGACAAACACATCCGTACGACACCACAGACAGATCAGGCCAGAGATCCAGTTGGGCCGACTCCTCGCACCACCGTCTAAGCAGACCTGGCATCGTAGGTTGTTCATCAATCGTACCTTTAAACCCAACTAACAAGCACCAGGAGCCTTCACCGCTGGCTAGAGAAGTCCCGGTCTATAACGAAAAGGTGCATCACCAATCCTCGTCCGAGACGGATGTCGAAGCTAGTCATGTTCCGCCTGTCATTTCAGACCCCGAGAAGGCAAAAGAGACGCATACGACCGCTCTTCCACCTTCATCGGGTGAGTCTTTTCCCAAGAGACTTTACGGCCGTTTTCGCGCAACCTACTGCCCCAAAGAAGAGCCACCTTTGGTCTTGCCGGTGTGCCCGAACGACACCGAGAAGCTCAGCTACGTTCACACCAATCGACTGCTCCTGTACATCTTTGGCATCTTCTCTTTCCTCTCGCTCGGCGCTGGAATGTGGCTGTTCGCGCTCTCTGCCCCGGCATTCTACTGGTATGGCGTCTTCGCGGGAGCAATGTGCATCTACTTGTTGATCTCTTACGCCGTCGGGATCATTGGACGAGACTGGGACTACAAAGCTCACTTGGATCTGGTTGAGCGCTTCCCCATTACCGAAGAGAACGCCCCGACTGTCGATATCTACCTCCCCTGCTGTTCCGAGCCCATTGAAATCCTGGAAAACACATACAAGCACATTGTCAACATTGATTGGCCTGCGTCTAAACTTCAGATCCACGTCATGGACGACGGCAACTCGGAACCTGTTCGGCTCCTCGCTGAGAAGTATGGCTTCAACTACTCCGTTCGCGATGACCGGCCCCGTCTCCGAAAGGCTGGCAATCTTCGATGGACATTTGCGCAGACCAGCGGAGACTTCTTTGCCATTTTCGATGCCGACTTCTGCCCACGCCCTGACTTTGTTAAGGAATTGATGGTTGAGCACTTGGGCGACGATAAGACGGCCCTGGTTCAGAGCCCTCAGTACTTCCGTGTCACTGACGACCAAACTTGGGTTGAGCAGGGTGCGGGTGCCACTCAGGAATTGTTCTATCGTGTCGTGCAGGTCAATCGCAACAGATGGGGAGCCTCAATCTGCGTTGGGAGCAATGCTCTTTACCGCCGTGAGTCTCTTGTCGAGGTCGGCGGAACAGCCGAAATTGGCTTCTCTGAGGATGTTCACACTGGGTAAATTTAATCCCACCAATATGTAGGATCTATGGCTGACATTCCACAGTTTTGGTGCGGTTGACCGCGGCTGGAAGGTCAAGTACATCCCGCTCTGCCTCGCCACCGGTGTTTGCCCCAACTCTCCTCGCGCCTTCTTCTCCCAGCAGATGCGATGGGCTCGTGGTTCAACGACTCTTCTTACCAACGGCCACTTTTGGGTCTCGAACCTCACCCTGATGCAGAAGATCTGCTACCTCTCAGGTTTGTTCTTCTCCTTCACAGCGACACAGCGTCAAGCCATCCATCTAACCAAACGCAGGCTTCTTGTACTACGCTGCAGTTTCACTCAACATATTCCTCGCCCCTATTGCCGGCACTCTTCTCCTTGCTATCCGCCCGGAATGGTTCAAGTTCTGGAACCTAGCTTTTGCCATCCCTTCGATTCTCTACGGTGTCATCCTCATGCGTTGCTGGGCTAAGGCCAAATATGGCTTCAATGTGCAGCATGCCATGACGGTCCAGAGCTACGCCTACCTCACCGCTATCAAAGACCGTCTCTTCAACATTGAGCTTCTTTGGGCTGCCTCTGGCGACTCCAAGGCACACAAGAGCAACAAGTATCGCAACATGCGCCTTCTTTGCATCATCTGGACCCTGATTGTGACTGGTGCCATGGTCGGTGTCGTCACATGGCGCCTCGTCACCGGTTTCACCTGGTACCATCCCTTGCCACTCATCATCATCAACGTCTACAACCTGTTTATCAACCACTACTTCATGTTCTGCAACTGGTAGAATTCTACTGGTATCCAGGTATGCGAAGGTTGTGACAAGAGAAAGAGGTGTTTGTTATTAAAAGCTTGCATTATACATGGACAAATGGAGTCAAGACATTTGATTTTTTGCGATTGAGATGACGGAGGTAGCATTGACGGTTTTACCCGTATGGAAACGGCCTTATACCATGGACATAGACGCAAGCACACAAGCCTGCCTGCACACACTGCTTCCACAGCGTACATAGTTGGTACTCTTGTATATCACGGTGGATAAAGTAATCGTGAAGGTACCCTGGCAGCGCTGCTGCCTTGCATAATCATAGTAAATAGTAATACTTGTATGAAGAACTTGCGATGTCCATCATTCTCGAAGTAATTGACCTCAAGATTCGCTAAAGAGTCTTGTCGTTTTGAGTTCTGCCTCCAGTTCGCCTGCTCGTGTTCGACTGTGCCACATTCTTTGCAAGCTTACAGTCGCAACAAATCTTTCGGGTCAAATCTGACCCCTCGTGTGTTTGACGGATCAAGGCTATTCATGTGCTTCCACACATCTTCGGGGTTGTCGTAGTTCTCAATCATGGTCTCAATCTGGTTTCCATCCGGATCCCTGTAGTACAAGCTCGTCGTCACGCCGTGATTGAGGCAGAGATGCGGTTCTATCCCGCCCGCTTTGCCGGCGTGGTACATGCGGGCTAGGTCATTGAGGGAAGCGAATTTCAGGGCGATATGGTCAAGTCCGGTGGATGGCGGCGGGTCGTTGGAGGGGGGAAGAGCGGTGTCATTAGAGGAAGAGGAGGGGGAGGGAGAGGTTGATGGAGTGGGGCTGTGAAGGATCGCGAGGCGGTGGTGTTCTCTGTCCCAGGTTAGAACGGAGATGTAGTTGTTTTGGAGGACGATGTGGGCGTTGAGGAGGGTTTTGTAGAAGGTGATTAGGGGTGTTGGGTTTGGGGTTCGGAGGCCGAGGTGGGCTATTTCGATTGGGGATGGGGATACTGGGTCTTGGGTCATTGTGACTGAGGGATGATAGGCTCCTATCAAATGGGCGTGTCTCGGAGCTTTTCTTTCGGAGGGCGATTGTTGTCCTACACTCTGGACTCTATGCTGATGATAACATGAAGGGGTTCGAGGTTGCGGGTTTTTATGTCTTACATCCATCACCGACGAGATTCATCCTCAAGATACCTCATCTGAAGAGAAATACACCTTGTCTACAAAGTACTGGGATGTGGGATAATCTTATGTCATGTTTGACAGTATTTTTTGGGAGAAGCTGAGTCAAAATGTTTGCGAAGTTGTCCCGTCACATTGATCATTTGCTTCCGCCGTGACGTTATTCGGATGTTTTCTGATGTCTCCAAGTGCAAGTCCGCAAACCTTCGCCGAACCCCGCCGAACCTCCGCAACGCCTCGAAAATTGAGAATGGAGATTGCAACTCCACTGGGATAGAATCGATGGTATCATGGGATGGGGTTCTATGGCGGTTAACATAGTGGGAGCCTCGAAATGAACTCAACTATGCACATTCTGGTGAGTCTGGACACGGCACGACGATTGCACAGGGCCCCGTTTCGGAGAGCTTAATCCTTGTTTAATTCATCAGTCATGTCACAGCTTTAGGCCTTGTGCGCATATTAGTACCGGCCGAGAAACCAAGTGAATATGGCTAGAGGGGTTATCGCTCAATAATTAGGGAACGTTCACCCCTTGGCCCCCAATCCTGGATACGTAAGATGGAAAATGCTAAAGCATTAGACATGTTGGTATACGCGTTAGTAGGATAACCGTATGGTTGGCATGAAGGTCAATGAAGCGATGTTCATTGCTGCCTATGGAGGTAGCCGGAGGACGAATTGGGCAGAGCCCATGATCCCTCAGAAGTGCAATTGGAGGGGCTGTCCGTATGGCTCTATCCGGTTTCCAGATACATCTTTTCTGCCGACTGCCTGGAATCCAACAGAATGGCATGAGCTTATACTGTTCTGGTCACTTAATGCTGGAGAATGTAGTATTGAATGAAAATCAGATTCATGTACTCATGACAGATCTCGGACTACTTTGATAGCGTGATTTCCCTTAGGTCAAGGTAATCCGTTGTGTTGGCAGATCTTCTATTAGCCTTCTTATAGTCGACGCATTTTCCTGGAGTTTGTTTTTTATCTCCCGGCGTGTCAAGGAGCTTGCTGCTGGATGAGATAAGCTAGCTAAACCGACTCGCCTGTAACAATCGCTACTCGGTTCTTTGCGGACATGAATAGCATCAAGAAAAAGCCCGGAACCGCCCCTCGAGGCCAAAGGGATGAGGTAGCCAGAGAGTTCTGCGGAACTCAAATCTGTGATCAAGGATCTGCAGTCCAATCTGTAGGAAAGAACCCACAAGTGATCCAGATTTGTAATGACGGTGTGGTACGGGTCGGCATACAAGTGATCAAATGGCGAACAATGTCCGGAAGTGCCTGATTTGTGACGAATATGGGCTTGAGACGCGGTAAGCAAACAGCTGGCGTCTAGAAGGGGAGCTCTCAATGTGATTCTCGCCTCTATGCAGTCGGCCAGGTGGCTCGGACCTCGGTTGATGACTTCGATGTCATCAATTCGCGTACATTTCAGGGCTTGATTGACTCCAAAGAACCATTGGACTTGGAATGGTGATGAAGCCCATGACCAGGACGGATAGCGGGCGATGCGTGCTTTTGAAACCACGTTATGCCTTGTCGGGTGCCAGAGAAGATCGACAAGTAAGGTCTTCTCCCACAAGCCCACCAAGTATCGGTCGCCAAGCCGTAAATGTTGCATTTGTTCGGCTAGTCCAGATAGGGCGGCCATCTTGTCCTCCTCTTTGCTGAGTCTAAGTCGTGAGTACTCATCTACTGTTCGATACCACAGGGATTGTGGGTCTTTCTCAAGGACACTATATGGAACGTAGGGGTAGACCATCGAGTTCCATGCACCTTTGGAGGTCAAATCCTCATCATTGTCCATGCTCTCGCTTTTCTGCGAAACCCGGCAGACCCATACCACTTCCTGCGCACAGAAGTGCAGTACGCGTGGTGAGAGTCGCATCTCCTGATAGGCCCATCCACGACTCAAAAGTGGCCAGTTTGGGCTCTCTCCTATCGCAGCTTCATCTGACATGAGCGGTAATTTGGGAAGCTTCTGCCGAGTATAAGTGTCTTTGTACCCCGGCAAGAGTTTAGACATGTATTCTTCGCTTGTGTTCCTGAAACAGCCACCAGATGCGTCGCTGGAGTTTGTTGCTGCGATTGTGAGATATGCATTCGCATAAATATTAGCCATTTGCGAAGCCTGTTCCTTCCAATCTTCATCGGAATCCTGTATGATGCACAGTGCATCGATCCATAGATATGAGATTTCAAGATGACGACAGACAGTTATTGCATCCTGAAATGTTGCATTAAGCTGATTCCAAGGAATGCTTTTCCGGCGGTGCTCGATTGTGTCTTGTTTGGTTTGGATTATTTGGGCACTCTCACCCCAGCAATAGCTTAAACATGCATAAGGCTGTTGCCCAACGTTCTCCTTCAGAATGACTTTATCGTCGATGATCTGAAGAAGTCTTTTAGGTGAAGCTCGTTGATCATGCCCGTGCTTGCTATTTCCATGACGGCATTTGTGACTTATAGTGCACTCATTGAGCCAACCTTTGATAGTCCGGAATGTTGTCTCGGAGCTTGTGCTTCCCGGAAGGTGAGCCGCGATCTTCTTCAGATGTAACGGGTTTTCTTCCTGGCCTGCAGAATCATTTATTAGCTGTGGGAGTAAAGATGTAAATAATGGCACATCAGACCGTCTCCTCTGAGATTCGAGATCTACTGAAGATTCTTGCCAGTAGTGCTTAGTACGGTGTAATTTACCATCAGTAGTGAATACGTCAACCCTTATATCTTTCAACGACTTATTCAAGACTTTTAAGTGCTGGTCTTTGTGGTCTTGTCTAACATAGATGTCTGCGTTCTGCTGCGTACCAGTCTGAGCCAATCCGATACATTGGTCCAGGAAGGCGCACCGAGGGCAGCCGCCTTGTATACCCCGCCGGAGGCTCTCCCAACCGATCACAGATTGCCAATCCCGACCACCGCAGAACAGACACGCCATGTGAAAGAGTAACACTGGAGATTTGAATGAGCAAGAACGATACACAATAGTCTCGCACTGGCTCTCGACATGAAGAATGTTGGTCAAGAGGCTTTAAGCTTATCAAAGCTTACGAGAATCCGCAAGGTGAGTGGATTTATGAGCGTTGAGATCTTCTCTCCAAGCGGTGGAGTTGCTGATGATGTTTTGATAGATGCACGCGTTTTGCACTCTCTCCTCTACTTATCTTAGTTACTCCTCATCACTGGGGATGCAAGAATGTATCAGGCAGCTGTGTCTTCTTGGCGCACCAATGAAATGTACACACGTAGCCCACGTATTCAGCAAATCTCAGAACGCATTGAACAAAACAGAGGAGACACCGGAATAGTTTCCCGACATTATGGTATTGGACGTGCGCAGCTCTTCCATAAATTGAGTAAAGTCGTAAAACATCAACATCGCTACGGGTCGCTCCTGGCCCATTCACAAAATGGAGAGTCTTGCAGGTCATTTCACCTCTGCGCAATATCGAGCTATTGCTAAGCCTCGCCTTTAATCCTGCCTTGCCGGCTTATATCTGGCACAGCTCGTGGCGCAGGCGTCGAAGGAATGCTGAGATTCAGGCAGCTTAGACATGACCCCCATAAATAGACTCAGCAGCTTCGCCCCATGACTCTTGGTTGCTTTGTCAGTTTTCCCAAGAACGATCGATGCTGGTGTCCCCAAGAAAAGACGCTACCTGCAGGCAAGGCAACAAGATGTCTTAGGATAAGACGGAAACGTATCGGATGCTTCTTTAGTCATGTGATGTGGCGTTAGGCAGATGCTCAGATATGCCTTTCTCGATGAAGGCCTCCTGTCAGAAAATTGAGATTGATATCTTGGAGAACGGGAGCTTGGGAACCTCAGATTCTACGATCTTACTATAACAGCAAAACTACGCCTGATACGAAGCAAATCGACCGTTCAAGACACTGCCGCCGATCGATTCTTCGAAAACTTCGTCATGATCAGATTGCACTGGTTCACCGTTCATGGCGTGTACCTCTTCACCCAATTTGCTTTTATGATGGCCGGCATCGCGGCCTTTGTATCAATGCCACTAGAACTCAATCACCCGATGCCGCCTACAATTCCATGGGGATCCTCTGCTCTAGTGCGTCAACTTTCTCGGCCCCTCCCCTAGTGAAGCTCGCCATCTAGAATCTTCTTAGACCGTATGCTTATCATTGGACCATTTCCAGAGCTGTTTTTCACTCTTTGCCAATACTCTCATTTTGTCCGCAATTTTTTCATCTCAACGGCCGAGTCCCCTGATGACCGAAGAAAGCCGTTTAAATACCCGCCGCGTCACACTCCTCATCAGCGTCCTATTTGCTGCGGGGTTCGCCGCCGCAGACTGGTCCTTTGCCGTATCGTTTCGCGAGTATGGATCAACTGGTCCTGAGAAGGCGGCCAGCGGTGTAGCTGGGGTGGCATCGTACGTCAAGAGCTTTCTGATTTGCACTTTATGATCTTGATACAGGCTAACCAACTTGTGCAGATTTGTCGCGCTCGCTGCTGTGGTAGCGGATATCTGGAAAATTTGCGCAGATGCCTCGGAGGCTCGAGCTGCTGAACTGTTTGACCAAGAACAGCTTGCTGATGTAGAGCCATATACTGATGATTGAAGAGGCGTGGGGGCTTTGAAAGGCTTTGGTACATTTATCAACGCAAAATCAAGGACGTGTAAAACATAAATCTTGCCTCCTCATTATCTTTTTCGCTGCGTTCACGACAAGATTCAGGAAGCACGCTACATGATTATGATTCCTCGTGAAGTAAGGCACGTGAAAAGTACCTGCTCAAACATGCAAGTGGTTTGACAAACCTCCTCGCGCTCGGCATGCAAAAGTGATGACTCAAAATATGACTGCTATATTGCGCTACAGCAGTGGAACAATTGGGGCTAGTTTGTCGATTGATGCATACAGGAAATACCCCGAAAACCAACAGCCTGATTGTGAAAAAAGAACGCGCGGACGTGCATAAGCGAAGGAATGGCTGAACTCGGATGTCTTGCATCTAAATTGGGTCTCAAGATGCGATTCGCCGAGCCAAGGAAGTCAGCCTGACACAGCCGCAAACTAATAAAGCCACCCATGTGCTCAGGGAGGCGCTGCGCATGATCTACAGGCTATCGAAGGGATTAGAATGTGGAAATAGAAAACAAACATTTCTGAGCCATTTGAGCCTTCGCAAAGGATGATGTCGTGGTTGTTCCAAGGACGGAAGAAGGACGATGGCTTTTCTACCATTGAAGACTTCGGCGATCTGGACAGACAGCAAAAATGCCGTGGCTGCAAACAGATTCGGGCTCTTTTCGATTTCCGTAGGCGCCACAATATTCTACCACCCAAGGCTGTGGTTTTTCACGAAAACTATGCCTCTCTCGACAGATGTGCTCAGCTCTGCGTCACTTGCCGCATTTTTCGCCAGGCGCTGCTTCTCGAAGGCGTAACTGCCGACCATGCTGCTGTATTGGGCCGTTCTCCGGCGTCGGTTCGCGCGAAGTTGGTCGCTGACGATGGTGGCCTTGCAATAAAGATTTACGTCAACGAAGATGGAGAGAGCAGAATGCCGGTGGCGATGGTCGGCTGTGCATCAATAATAGACGCCAAGCCCCCTATGAAGCTGTCGAGGAATTCAGAGGACGATATCATCTTCCAGCAGATTAAAGATTGGCTTCGGGTGTGTGAACAATGTCACATTGACTGTGGCAACCTCGCATATTCGAACCGCAGGCCTACTCGGCTTCTTCACCTGCTCTCTGACTCACGAGCCGAGTTGGTCGATAGCGAGAGTCATATCATGAACGGCAAAGCCCCGCGTTATGCAGCTCTGAGCTATTGCTGGGGCACTGGCACGTTCAGTGAGGATGAGAACGAGCTAGTTGAACAGGGACAGACGCTGAAGGCTAATCTGGAGAGCCGATATCAACCGTTTGACACTGAAAACCTTCCTGGCACGGTCCGCGATGCTATCAAAATCACCCGGCGGTTAAGCGACCCAGAAAGCGGACTTGAGCTATGCTTGCTATGGGTTGACTCGTTATGCATCATCCAGGACGACGTTCAAGACAAGGAGGTGGAGATACACCATATGCAGGAAGTCTACGGCAACGCCGCTGTCACCATTTGCGCAACGATGACGACCAAGGCCACCCAGCCATTGCTGATGCCGCGTCTTGCGTGGTCAAAACAAGTCAAGCCATGCCGCATCGACACCTCTTGGCTGACCGTGAACCCCACGGCACCTGCTGGTCTCCGCTCAAGGACCCCGCTGTCCCTTCGGGCATGGACACTTCAGGAGGAGCATTTGTCGCCGCGGCTGCTTTTCTGGGGCGGCCAGCAATTTAGCTGGGCATGTGGACGTGGCGAGTATGTCGAGGAGACATCTTCTAACTCTGTTCAGCCTCCTACCACTCATGTGCGCAAATTTCTTGCTGAGTGCCGTACATCGGAACCCGAGGAGCTCTGGCGTGCATGGAATGCTATAGTAGAGTCATATACGGCTCGGAGCTTGAGTAACCCAGCAGATAGGTTTGACGCGCTCGCGGGACTGGCAACACGATATTTGGCCGCTATTTCCGCCTACAACGAGTATATGGCAGGTTTATGGCGGGCAACATTTGCGCAGGATCTCTTGTGGCATGTTTCTAAAGCATCTGGGCCCGACGTAGGATGCCCAGGCACGGCAGGAGCCCCGAGCTGGTCTTGGGTGAGTCTTCCTATAGGCCTGGAGGCTCGCATGTGGCACGAATTTGAGATGCTGACCGCGATGGAGCTGCTCGACGAAAGTCGCAGTGTAAATATCGAGCCATCAGAGGCGGTTGCTCAAGGGGCCAATTTGAGTCGTGTCCGTGTTCGAGGGCTTTTGAGAAATCTTTGGAGCTCCGGATCACAGCTTCGGGAGTGGGACGATGTCTGTGTCTGCGTGGACGGCGTCAAAAAGTTCAGCTTTAGTTCCAACCCGGGCCAGGATGTCCACGCGGTCGATCGCCTCACGGGCAACTTAGTTGCATATGAGGCGCGGAAGCAAGAGATCGTCGCCGGGTTGGACTACTGCAGGCTCGCGGAGGACATTAATGGGGGACTCTTATTGGAGGTTCACTGTCTTGCCATATCTGAGCATGCTATGCTTCTCCTGCGCCATCAGAATGCCACGGGTGCTTTCCAGCGAATAGGCATTGGCTTTGGTTATCGACGGGATTTCTTCAGAGGGCTGGAGAAGTTAGAAATTGTCCTAGAATAGAGAAGCATGGGAGCGAGAAACACATTAATCTGCAATTTGGAGTGGCGTAATGTCGATGAAAATACAATTTGGACCAGACTTCTTGATTCATATCGGACACGCGGGATGTTAAAGTAGCAGAACTCTGGCCTCATGGAGGTAAGCTGAAGGCTTACCATGAGTTCGGACCCATAATATCTGACCTACAGGCTACAGCATGAATCCCTGACTCGACCTTGAGCATTACAGGGACGTGAGCCAGGGGACCCCACACCTCATTATTGCCTTAACTCTCCTTCCTATTTATTTTTATTAATACCTACTATTAATACGTACTATAATATACTTATATAAATTACTATTAGCTCGATTCTAACTACCCGAATACCTAGCTAAGTAGCGGGAGCGCCGGCCTATATATTATTATACTTTAACCCGTTTATTGTTACCCCTCTTTTTATATTTTATGCTTTAATAATAGCCTTTAACTATATTATATAAATAAATTAAAGCTAGCTCTTTAAGGCTACGTTAATAAAATTATTATTTAAAAAACGATAAATTTATAACTTTTTTAATAAATAATAAACTTTAAAAATATCTTAACTAAACTTTGTTTAATTTATTAAATATAGACTTATTACCCCTATTATAAACTCTATTATTACCGAGATTATTATAAATTAAACTAATTTCTATTTTATTAATTTAATTATAATTTAGTATATTAAAAAGACTATTTTTAAGCTTTAATAAATTAAAGCTTATTATAAAGCGGCTAATTACTATATATAAAGCTTTGCGGCTATATTTAAAACTATTTTAACTAGCTATTATAATAACTAGCCCTTCCCTATTTATTTTAAAACTAATTAAAGTAATAGCTTTAATAACTATATAATAATTATATTAAAACCGGTATTTAACGGCCTTTAATTAGCGCCGTTATTACGTTTTAAGGCTCCGGGGTACTAAAATAGAATATAAAAAAATATTATGAACCCTTTATAATTATAGTTTAACGACTAGATCTTTATTTAACTCTCTCTCAGTAATAAATACCGAGACGTTAATTTTATTACTTACCGGTTTTATAATTACTATATAATTTATAAAAATAGGATTAGCTATATTTAATTATTACCGTAAACTATTTAAACTCTTTAACGTAACTAATATTAATAAATTAATAAATTAAAAATATAATTATAATTTATAAAATCCCTTTTACTTTTAAAAAGTATAACGGACTTATTTTTATTATAATAGAGTATATAATAAAAAAAACCCGTATTATTAGAAAGTAAATTTTAATTTAATACTGCCCTACGGCGAGCTCTTTAAATAAATTAAAATAATCCTAGATTATCTTATTTAAATAATAAATCCTATTTTTTAAAGTCTTTAAAAGCTTTATAGTAATAAAACTTAAATAAAAGATCTAAGTTATTTAGTATTAGAATTATTTTAATTAATATAGTCTTTATATATATTCCTATATTATAAAATATATACGTTATAAAAAGCCGGCCTATAATAAGATATATAAAGCCCGCTTTTAATATATAAACTATAAAGGCCTTTATATTAATTTAAATAAAAAGTACTTTACCCGACCCCGGGTTAAAAATAATATTATTTATTATATTACTTAGCGTTAATAAATAAAGATTAAGTATTATAGTATTTAAATATCTAAGTTTATAAATATTTAGAACCCCCCCGACGGAGTAATCCGCCGGGGCCGTATTATATATTACGTATTAAGGAAAACTAGGTATATTGCGCTCTAAACCTAATTACTAACTAAAATTAACCGACTCGACTATTTTCTCCTTTTTATTAATAGCTCCCGACCTTCCGCTACCCGTTTAGAGGGCAAGCTTTACTTACTTTAACGTATATAAAACCTCTTAGTACTAGCCTATATAGGTAACTAGGTCTATATTATAGCTAGCTAGTCGTAATAAGTATATTAATAAAAGTTAAGGCTATAAAGGCTAAGTAAATAGTATCGTAATCGTAAATAGCTTTTTTAAAGCTATATCTATAAATTATAAAGTAAATAAAGCTTTAATAATAAATCGTAGTTTTATTAAAAGGGGTTTTTAATAAAAATAACTAAAAATAATTATAAAATCTAATATTAAATTAATTATTAAAGAAGCTATAGGAAGTCTATTTTTAAACCCGGTTTAAATCTATATTATATATAAATCTCGTTTTTAAATATATCTTTTATAATACTTTTATTTATTATTATTTAACTATTTATTAAACGGTCGTCCGTTTTATTTAATTACGATCGTATATCCTATTTATTTATAAATATCCGTTCTTTATTTTATTATATAATCGTAGTTACGTAATTTATTTATAATTCTTCTATCCCGAGAGGAGTTATTTTAAGTCCGTTGCTTTTATATATATAGTATAGTAGCTATTATAGGTTTTATAGGGCAGGCCCTGGCCTTATTATACGTATTAGGTCGTAATAGTTTAATATAATCTCTTTTTTTATATAGGTATTATCGTTACTTAGTATTATAGCTAGCTAGTCGTAATAAGTATATTAATAAAAGTTAAGGCTACGAGGGCTAAGTAAATAGTATCGTAATCGTAAATAGCTTCTCTAAAACTATATTTATAAATTATATTAATAAATAAGGCTTTAGTAATTAATTGTAGTTTTATTAAAAGGGGTTTTTAATAAAAATAGTTAAAAGCGATCGTAAAATTTAATATTAAGTTAATTATTAAAAAAGCTATAAGAAGTCTATCTTTAAGCCCGGCTTAAGTCTATACTATATATAAATCTCGTTTTTAAATATATCCTTTATAATATCTTTATTTACTATTACTTAACTATTTATTAAACGGTTATTTATCCTATTTATTTACGATCGTACGTCCTATTTATTTATAAACGTCCGTTCTTTATTTTATTATATAATTATAGTTATATAATTTATTTATAGTTCTTTTATCCCGAGAGGAGTTATTTTAAATCCGTTATTTCTATATATATAATATAATAGCTGCCGTAGGTCCTATAAAGCAGGCCCTAGCTTTATTATATATATTAAGTTATAATATTAGCTCCTCTTTTTAAAGGTCTAGTCCTTTAAGCTTATAAATAGGTCGCCTATTCTTAAATTAAAGAATCGTTAAATATATTTCTATTTAAAAATATATTAATATAATATTAGGTCGAATTAAAAAATTAAAGTCTTAAATAGCTACGTCTCGTCGTAAACTATTATATATTATTCGTTTTTTTAATAAAGGTATAGAAATTATACTTTATTTAAATTATCGCTTACGAGGCGTTCAGTACCTAGTTCTTTTTAATTCTAATATTTATAAAACGTACTATTACCTAGGTATTTCTTATAATACTTCTATTAATACTATTTATATTTGTAAGTATTATAATACTTATTTATTAAGTCTAGCTAACTAATATAGTTAATCGCTTAATATTAAAATCCGATCGTTTTAATTATAAAAAGGAAATAAAAGAGTTATAATTTCGAAAAAGGGCTACGGAGTTATAAAAAAAAGCTAAAGCTTATTAAAAAGCTTAGGCCGAGTTAAATAAATCGTTATCTAAGTTAAAACGTCTTTATTTATAAAAAAGAATAGTTTTTAAAAAAAGTCGTATTATATTAAAAGAATTTTTTAAAAATACTAAAAGTACCTCCTCAGCGGCTTATAAAGTATAAACTAATAATATTTTTAATATAATTAATTAAACGCTATAATAACTAGGAGTTCAGGGTTTAATTTTAATTTCGGTATTCCTCGAAAAGCTATTAGGATTCTAAAGGTTCGTAATAGGTTCTTATATATTTCTTTATATCTATAATTCTTCTATTTAATTAAAAATTCTTATATTTTATTTTTAATTTTATAGTTAATAATCCTTTCGACTTCGTATTTTAGTTCGTTTAGTTCTATAATAATACGATTTTCTATATATAAACC